GTTCAAAAATTTAAAAAAAAACTGTCGCTAATAGCCTAATTCTGTGCATACAGTCATTCACAGTTCGACTCTCATATAATTAACACAAACGACAGAGACAGTCTACTCTTTTCCAGTGGCCGCATTCATCAACGAACCCTGAGGGTTAAACTAACCCTGGAGGGTCAGTTTAACCCTGGAAAGCGATTAACCCGTATTCGTGAAACACAGGGTAGGCTTAACCCTAAGGTTAAATCTACCCATGAGGGTAAACCTTACCCCGAAAGCGATTAACCCGTATTCATCAACGAATCCTGAGGGTTAAACTAGCCCTGGAGGGTAAAACTTACGTAATTCATCAGGGTTAATTTAATCCTAGCTTAGAGCAAGGTTAATTCTACCCTAACACTTCATACAAAATTTACTCGCATCTAATAGTTTTATGGAAAACGATCAACGAGTATTGTAGTATTTAGTATCAGTTGTTGTTATAGTATTCAGTTTCGACTTCGTTTTATGTTCACATTCGAAGTACATGAAACACTGACTTCACGAGAAAAAGAATTCTAGCTTTGGTGACAAATGAATGCGACGAGGAAAAATGGATGCGCATTTCACTCTGACAAGTGCCAAAACAGAAGAACCCCTTTATGATAACACGCATTGACCCCCAAAAGTGTAGCACAAGCCCAGTATAAAACGTAATGCGCAAAAGTAGAACTTACACGGCACAATTGCACACATGAAAATAAACTCACGCTGTGAGATTGGATGCTGCACTAATATGCTAAAGATGTATTATAAAAACTAGTGTTAGAAGCTTATTCGTTGATTATACTACTATAACAGTGAAAGAATAGAAGTATAAAGTGAATTTAGCACGTACTTAGGCATTCTGTGATGTGAGTTTGCACAGCGCACGCGTAACTGACGCCTTAACCCTCCAGGTTAGTTTAACCCTCAGGGTTTGTTGAAGAATACGGCCACAGGTTCGTTGATCGATAGGGGTGGATCGCGTTCCGTGGTAAACACCCTATGGTTGATAAATACGGCCATTGAACCCTGAGGGTTAAACTAACCCTGGAGGGTAAGTTTAACCCTCAGGGTTCGTTGATGAATACGGCCACAGGAGTGAGAGTCAGCCAGGGGAAATGTCTTAGAACGTACAGCTGTCGTAACACCAGATAAAGTGCAGTTTACTGGAATCACACGGCTGCAGTATAACGATACGAACAAAGAGTATCATATGATCCTTGATTGGTGACGACAGCTAGTATGGGCGCATGGCCCTAACGTGCAGCTGAACCGATCTCGATAGCATCATATTCATTCATTTATGTTATACACAAAAATGCGCCAAAAATTCAAGCAAACCTCCAAAAACTATGCCAAGTTCATCCAAAAAATCATACAAAAAATTAGCATGTCGAAAAAGATCATAGTTTCCTTGCTGGAAAAATCAGGTCGTTCTCCTCTTTCAAATTTAGGATGCTTCTACCGAGTTTCTTTTCCCTTACCCGGGCGCAGTATGGAACGGCAGAAGATACCAGGGCTTGGCTGACCAACTTAACCCTGGACGGAAGAATCCGTTAGGCACCCTGTGCGACCAGGAAAAAGGGATCTCTAAACAGAGGGCTCACTGGTTCCTTGATCTATATACATGTGGGTTAACAAAGTCAAATAAACCTACTACGCAAATCTTAACAATAGAGATATTGACCTATCATCGTAAACGTACAGTAGGCACTACACATGTGAAATCATTATTATTATTATTTATTACATAGGCTAATTATGTTGACCAAACAACCAAATGAAAAGGTCATTTTTGAACACGATCGACTTTGTTTTGAAGGTGATTTAGCTATTTGCTTTCGCACTCAATAAAAAGCACCAGACCTTTTACAAAACAGGAAGATTACTCGAATGACCTCGGCCTATGGAATTATTGGCTCAAAGAAAGTTAGGGCATACGCCGGTTTCGTTGCATTCTCATCTCCTAGCCAGCTCATCTTTATTTCCTCAGAAGCGGATGTTTCAGTGCTGATTCAACATTCAGTCTATTTGTTTTTTAAGAACGCCACAAATCATTTTGCGCGTGTAGATATCAGCCACTCTGGGACGAAGATACCCAAAAGCACTTTGCAGCTTGTATCAACGTGCTCTTGATAGTGGTTCACTATGAGTTACCGCTTGGAATCAATTTGTGGTCACAAATTGGCAAAGCGCCCACGCACTACACTCGCGAACGTGGCCAAGGCGTGCTCGACGCGGATGCGCAGGTACTACAGGAAAAGGAGCTTGTACTGACACATCCTGTAGTTGCAGAAATAATGTTGGCTAAACATATGCTCGTTTTATTGAGTTTTCAGCATTCCATATCAGGTCGCTAGCGTGGCAAAAAGGAGGAAGTTCGACTTGAAAAATGGTCAGTTTGTGCAGCATTATCTCAGGCATATTGAGTGCTAGTGAGCTCATATGCGGTATAGGAGGATCTATTAGGGCTACTGAAAGAACGAATCACGATTGGCTACCTGCAGAGATTTTTCTGCAAGAAGTCGGCTATTTCTTGTGCCTTAAAATTGCAGCATTTTCTGACGGAATGATTTCAAAGTCCCACTTTTCTGCGCAGAATGAGCCAAATTTTTGATAACAGTTAAATTAGTTTGGATGTTGTCTTGCATGTCTTTTAGACCCATCATTCAAGCGTGGAGATTCCTCTAGAATCGAGCCAGTTGCGGAAGGTGTTACGGTCAAAAGCAAGTTTCACATCCTTGAATCTTCGTGGTACCTCCGCGATGCGTGCGCAGCGCATGCCCTTAGTGCGCTTTTCGTTTCAGCTCTACTGGATTTTTTTGCTTCTCTCATAAGTGACTTTGTTCTATTCTGTAATTTCTCTATTTTAAGTGCAAAGAACTCACGAAAACTGCCGCTGATAAGTTTTTACGAGACTTGTTAGCCTTGAGCGCTTTTAATCAATCTCTCTTTTTTTCTCGATAGTTGGATTTGGATTCAGTATATGGGGATGTCTCTTCAATGGCTGCCACTACAGAATAAGCCTGTATGTCCGATTGATTTTTATTAAAGCTGGTTTCTAGGCTTTTTGATGCACCTTTAGGGCTTTGTTTCTAACATTCTGCTCTCAATCTCAAACTTTCTAGTTTTTGTGGCCGCAGAAAAAAACGTTTAAAAGTGTCCCTCGACTTCTTCTGTTACCTGTATCACCATCATGGTACTGTCATACTAGCGTCAATGAGACTGACTAAAATCCAAGCGCTGGAAGAAGTTATGAACGTTCTCTTAATGCTTTGGCTTTTCTCAAGTTTCGCATAGATGTTTCCACTTCTCACTTCACTGCTTACTTAATCAAGCAGAAATGCTTTCGTGTTCGTAAGTGAAATGAGAAGCGTCCAAGTCGTGCCCGCTTTGCGTATGCGTCGCGATGTTACTTATGGGAAGCTGGCCGGGGTCCATGCTATATATGAGTGCAACTGCGGGCTTGAAGCCGAAACCTTCTCTTTCAGAAGATTGTGCACTTATTGTTAGGCGGGTTTCTTTGTTCAGCGCGAAAAAATGACAACAAAAATAGTACTTGTCCAATGTTCATGGCTGATTTCTTTTTCTATGGGTGGATTTTTCTCACATTCGACTTTGAAAGCAAAATTCTGCATTATTATGTAGAAAAGGCCTAAACTTTACATTGCCGATTTTGTTTTTTGCGCATGCCCAATGATAGTTGCATCATGACATGCATAAGGGTTAACTTACATTGGAAGATCTACTTAGCAAATAATATATCATAAAAGACTCAATAGCCCGGTACCCATAATTTTCACAGCAGTAATTTGAGCCTTTTTTATTTTACTTCAAATAACAACTGTTGGAATCACGAGCTTTGTAAGCGGAAAATGGAACGAACGAGATTTTGGTTGGCTCCTAATCCCACTGTTTGCCTTTTACTTGAAGTAGGATTTTTTAAGTGGGCAAAGACGGAGCAGTGCTTTGTAATAAGTGCGAAAAATAATAGCTAACTCAATACAACTTGATTATGTTTGAAATTGACCATTTCACTTGGGTGGCCCAATGGAAACTGCGGAATTCGCTAGAACTTGGTCCACAGAAATTTTGACATGCTACTCTGAATATGTCACTCAATATGCTTGATAGGGTCTCATCTTGTGGCTAACCTTAGGTAGATGATAATTCTGGGAGGGGGAGTCTACTGGACAATCAGCAGGGGTGGGGGAAAGGGGGGGGGGGGGGGAGTCGTGGTGGCGGTCATGTGCCACACCTTTTGCGCGACCCTAACTACCAAGCTCTTTCTTTTATAACTTTGATGTTCTTTTACGCGAACGCCACCTTGCTTCAAGGCAGTCCGAGGCAACATAATCAGGACAAGCCTATGCACCCTTTGATTAAACTGGCTTGGCGGCTAAAAGGCGAGGCTTCGTGACCTAGCTAAGGCTAGGTAATGAACAGAGAGCACGCGCGCGGGAGAGACGCAGACTGCGTCGCGGGCGCAAGCGGCCTTAGGTCATAATGCCCCGCCTTTCAGCCGTCAAGCATGTTGAATCGGTCAGCATGGCAAACTGGGAACTGTGTACAATGCTTGATGTCTGAGCAAGAAGTGGAAGTCAATAAAAAGTTTTCTTCCTTCCATGTGTATGGACTACACAAACTCAATGCCATCAATAAGGTAAGCAAATTAGCAGCAGAGTGAAATTTAGGTTTTTGATAACGCAAGAAAGAACAGCATTTCACATGCTCAACTGTTTATTTTTCATGCTTGAACATTTCCAAACTTAATATGAGATCAAATTGTGATACGTGCAGTGCTACTTTTGTCAATTTCAGAATAAGAAAACCATGCTCACAATGATAAAATATCAATGACGTAAGTACCCGTACATAACATGGCAAGTTGAAATACAAGTAAAAATACAATAAATTAGTAGATATGTTGAGCAGTAAAATCAAACAACTTTCTCTTAAATATCTAAAGGTCTATTGATTCTAGCAGCTCATTTCGCATGCGTAATCACCTCCCACCAAAGCGAGATATCTTGTGGAGTTTCGCAGGTAATGGCCGGAGGGTTTGGGTTTGCGGAAACCATAGCGGTAAGAACCTACAATTTGATGTTTGAGCAAAGAACCGTTGAACCTTACTCCTAACATTTTGCGGATTGTTGTTTATGGTAAGATTGTCTTCACTCTCATTCTTCTGTTTAGGAGGTGAAAACGTCCCATCTTCTCCTTTTTCTTCTAGGTCTGGCAGATCGTAGACGTTCAGCTGGAATTAGCGATTTATGAAAAGGCTAGGGACGACTTGACATGCCCTCCTCACATGCAATGTCTTTCCGCCAGAGATTTTCTTCGGTTCCCCTTTCTTCGGAAGCAGCTGGGCAACCTCTTGCGGTCGAGCTCGAGACTGCGCAAGCTTCTTGTCGACGTTCTTCTCTCTCTTAAATTTACGCGCCGCTTCTTGTAGGATTGCATTTGTTTGGTACTATAAATGAAGAATTTAGCATATTAACAGACAAAATAGACACTGACATTGAATGCATCAGGAATGCTGCTCCTCCTGTTCTTTATTGCCTTTTTTCGAATTGGGGCAGGTTGTTCAACCTCCTCGTTGGACAAGGAATCATCGGGAGCAAATCGGAATCGGGGAAGTTCACTGTCAATAGCATGTGGAGTTAACGCGGATAGTCCTAAATGAAGTTTTGTCAAAAGCAAAGAAACGCGACTTTTTTCACTAATTTTTTAATGCTTGGCAATCTAGAGCCGTCCCATCATCCCAAGACATCCATACTTAGAATTTAGGGAAATTTAGAATTTATAGCTCAATTTTATCATAGCTGGTGGTATGTCCTGAAATTATTTCCTCCTCTCAATTCAAAGTTTTGATGAGTTTTCCTTGAATTTTATCTTGCAAATGTGGGTTGATCGTGAGAAGGATGGTCATTGTTAACTCACGCACTGGGCTAAAATTACCCCTGAGGTTCTTGCAACATACCTGTTGCTCCCGGATGCGGATATTTGGTAATATCTGGGAATGAATCCTTTTGCATTTGTGGATTGCGTATCCGTCGCAAGCAGTTCTCCAACCAGGTTCGAATTGTTTGCTTTGCAACCTCTTCTTCTATGATGAACTCTAGTTCTTCTCGCTGAAATCAACCATAGTACGATTCCTTAGCCGCACGAACTGCACCAACGCTGCGGACCACGCGAGGCGCGGCTGAATTGTTGCAAGAGCACGACTTGTACAAGGCGAATTTGTGCTGGGGCAAGCGTTCTAACTCGCGTCGCGTGCTCCGCAGTGATGTTCAGTCGGTGCGGTCAACGAATCAATTATAAATATAATACAAAGGTACATAATCTCAGGAGGTTCTTATCGTGACGACTGCACAAAAATACTAAAGCCTTTCGTTCTTCTGAAGGGTTAGGAGCCAAAATTAATTCTATAATCATAGTTAATTACTTTATTTTTTCTTTTCCTTTGGTTTCAGAAAAAAAAAAGACAGAAGCTTTGACTCTCTCTCTCCCTCCCTCTCTCTCTCTCTCTCTCTCTCTCTCTCTCTCTCTCTCTCTCTTTGTCTCTGTCAATATCTCTCGCATCTTATCGAATCCAGCCTCAACATCTTTCAATTAACATTTTTCATATGTATCAACACCTTTCACAGTGCGCTCTGATTATAAGAAATTATTTTTTTATAAACTAGAACAGTTTCTTCCTTCTTATACTCAGTGCTTTGATTGTTCATGGAGCACTTTTTTCGTTGTAATAAATGCAGGAACAAAATTTCGGATATCTTCGTTACATCTAGCACTAATGAAATTCATATACATAGTCAGTATGGCTGGGCAGCAGTGGCAGATCGAGGGGGGAAGGGCGCGCGCCATCTCAAAATTCTTGAAAGTTGCTAAAATTTCGGGGTAATGGGCCCGCAAAAATTTAGGGAAGCATCCCAAAAAATGTTCGCACCTTTACTCGTAAAATTCTTTGTACCCCCCCCCCCCCCACACGAACGGAAATGTACCGTCACTGCTGGGCCTATACATTCAGCGCACAATAAACCAGGTATGAAGTCGAAGTAACAAATTTTAGATGATGTGCTCTATACCTGTAGCAGCTCTTCTAGCTGTAGTGATTTCCGTATGTCCACCGAACGATACGAAAGCATGCTGGAAAATTAGCGAAAAATTAGCAAATGGATATTTCACTACTTTCAAGAAGCATAGATAAAATTGTGCTTACTATAGAACGTCGTGGAAGGAAACATCATCACCGTTGTGTAGTCTATCCATTTCATAACACATGTGTTTGAAAAGTATACGGTCTTTATCAGGATCCACTTCGAGACGTCCCTATAACTCGTTGTGCAATGACGCAGAATAATCTCCAGTAATAACTACCTTCAAAAGACGCAGTAAAAACTTCACTCTTCCAACCGGAATCGAGCGTTTCTGCTCGCGGTCGACCATATTCCATACGACCTGAGATCACAAACTTGGCTAAGTTCAAGTATTAAGGGGTGATAATGAAGAAAGAGATGGCAGATTGGGTCCCTTAAAAAGATGCCAGACTAAATCATTTTCAAGGGGAATATGTGTTGCTTAAGATTCTCGAAAGCAGAAAAAGAACCCGGCTCAAAAGGTAGTGAATTTGAAAGAACATAATACAGTAAAAAATTTGACTGAATTTGTCATTCTTTTGTGTCATTTCTTAATGAAAACTTAGTCCTACAGAAAGAAGTTCTGACTAAAAAAAAACTAAGATTTTGCAAGCTGAGAAGTCCTGTTGCCACACTCATGGACCATGATGGCACGCATGGTAGACAAAATCGAAACTTGAGCCTACCTGGAAATTCCTAATATCAGCATAGCTCAGCAAAGCATCTTCCTCACTTGAGTAGAACAATGAGAAATTCTCCATGATAATCGCTGAAAATATTTTATAAGATTTTATACGTTTTACAAGCAAACATCTCATGAGACCCACCTACTAATAGGTTCCGTACTATGTACGTGATAATTAAGTAGAAAGAACAAAAATAGATAATAGCGCCGTAGTAATTCCCGCAGTCAGTGTTCCAATAGTTCATACCTTCTTGCCAATAGCAGAATGGTGGACTTCTCTGAAAATGCAAACGTTCGAAAACGGTAGCATACAAGTACTCGAGTGAGGCAATGCAGTATACGTAGTTAATAATGTTTACAATTTTTTGACTTCTTTTGCTTGTTCAGTGATATACCAAAATTCCCAGCGATATCTCTGAAATGCAAACTCCGCGAATTTCCGCGATTTATTGCGAGTCTACGCAAAATTGAGGAATTCACCACAAATTTTGGACAATCTATGAGCGGGTCGTATGTTTTAGAACATGAAGTCACTGTAGGCTCCACATAACAGATTAGATTACCGTATGACAAGGTATGCGAACTTACCATACAATCATGCATGATGTCATTCCAATCTTCCCCAGTGATGCTCCTGAATAGTACAACCAACGCCTCCGATCCAGTGCGGAAGTTCACATGCCTAAAAAATTCGTGGTCATTCTTCTAAAGTTAAGAGATGCTTTTTCTTTTTTGTAGCATGTACCAAGAATAACCGAGCGGCAATGATTGGATTGTCAATAATAACGTGAACTGCTTTTAAGAATCGCCAGAAAGGCTCTCTTCATTCTTTTTGGAATACGACGCAAAATAACTTCGACAACGTCTGGAAAGTTTTTTCCTCCTAGCTGAATTTTCACGTTCTTTTTCTCGATTCCTAGAACTCATTGCTTCAGAATGATATAATGCATCACACATTTGCACGTAATATGCTCCTCTTCTACTATATGAATTAGAAATCATTATTTGCTTAGACTGAAGTTTACGTAAGTATATGCGAAAGTAGAGAGGGCCCCGATTTAAGAGGGGCGGATGTGACAATGACAACTGATCTACCCTGAACATTATAACGCTTGAATAACAGAGGCAATAGTGCCTTTCCAAGGTTGAGAATTATTTTTGAAAGACTTGAAAAATTTATATGTTTTAAGCGGTTTAGGTTTTCCTCTTCAGATATGTATGTTGTGTTCTATGTTTTTTAGGCAACGACAACGTATGGAAAGTTTCTTCCTCATCATGGATTGTTCTTCCAAGCTGTCTCCGCCTGTTCACGCTGCTCGTTTACTTCTTATCCAGTGGCAAGCAGTGGCGTACCCAGTACTTGCGTTTGGAAAGGGGAGGTGACAAAAATTTTTTTCGGATGAAGGTGCGTGGCGTCAGGCAAGACTCCGAAAATTTTTTGGGATGATTTTCAAAATTTTTGCGGGCTCCTGACTCCAAAATTTCAAAAAAGGGGGCGATTTGAATTTTTAAATTTTTTTAAAAATATTTACAAGTAAAAACAAGTCGCTTGCACATTTGTTTAGCATATCTAATTAACTTTCAAATATGTCGCGACCCTATCTCGGGAGGGGGGGGGGGGCTTCGGTATGCCACGAGTGGCAAGCTAGAGTGGCGACCCATTACTCATTATCTAACTAGGATGCCCGACTTGGCGGAGTGTGATTTTGGTCCATCTTAATGCCATCTATGTTTTTAAGCCTGCATGAGTAACCGTGCCGACGACAAAGTAGTTGTCGCTCGTATTCTTTTCTATGTTCCCTCCTATCACGCACTTTTTATTGAATTCTAAGAGCACGCCAATGTGCGTGTGCAGTAAAATAAATGAGATAATATCCGTTTGATAGTGCATTGTTCGCGGTTCCCAACGTCTTTTTGATCTGTCACACTTCCATCCCTCCTCAAATCACTTCTTTAGATAGTGATTCTTGATTCCCTGCTTCGCTAAGATAAGTGCAGGGGTGGATCTGAGGCTAGAATGTTAGCGTAAGTACCTAACGTAAACCACTTTAGCCACGGAACGCCCCCGCTTACAATGCATAGGGCAGTAGCATAACCCAATGTAAGTATCTGTTCAGTTCCATCTCCTTTGCCGTTAAAATCTGCTTCTTCGGCTCAGGCGTCTTCATTTGCAATTTTTCGAAGTTGGTTTTTGTGCAGCTTTTCACGATAGAAAGTATAGCGCGGCAGACCCATTCTCCGAGTTTTTCCCTCTGTTATGTTGTTTTGAAGTTGTGTTGGTGCATCTAGAGTGCACACAAAAGCATAATAAAAAAGGCACAACGTAAATGGGATCTTTTCAGTAAATACTACAAATTACGACTAGAATCAAAAAATGGCCGTTAGTACATCATATTCAAGTGAATTAGGTATTTAGCGGCGGTAGGACGGTCTAGACCGCAGGTTCCACTGACTTAGCAGAACAACTGGTAAAATATAATGGTTTATCAGTAATATGACAAACCACAGGAAGAAGCTGATATACAAATACAAAGAATAAAAGTATCTGATGAGATACAGACGAGCTAATAGAACAGTGAATAGAGGAACTGTTGAGGAGCTATTAAGGAACGAACTAGACATCTTAGAACCGAAACACGAGATATGGTGATTCGTACATCCCATAGGTTGGGTTCAAAGCTAATAGTGTGGCAAAAAAAACCTAGGCCGGGCGCCTGGAGGCTACACGTCCCCCTTATCGTAAGTGGCGTCCCGACACTTAGCAACTATTAATAACTATTAACAACTATTAAACTTAATAAAACTTACCGAACTCAACTTAACCTAACCTAACTAAATTTAGCTACAACTACTAACACTTAACAACTTAATAACAACAATGATCTATCTTGATTTCTTCTTCCTTGTTTTTCCTTGTGGTCGTTGTCCAAAGTCCTTGTCCATGCGATCCTTGTCCATGCGATCCTTGTCCAAGCGATCTTCTTCCAGATTTCTGACGCCGCAACAAGTGTCCACTCCTTTCTGTTTGATTCTGTTGTGTCTTTGCACTTGTGCAACTAGTTCGGCAAGTATGTGCTCTGACATAGTCGACCATTTCAAGAAAATCCCAAAATGCGCGAGGGTATCCGGTACATCTGCACACTTTCCCATACCGCTTCGCATTGACACTCTTGAGTTTCTTAACATTCTTGTTTGCTGATGCGTTGGAATCACCTTCATCTTGCTGTTCCACGCTTATCCGTTTGACATAGACCGATCTATTCTTTGACTGTTTTTTCAGCATGTGCTTCACAGCTTTTGTCGATTGCTTCATACCGGTCAATGGTTCGTCCAAGATTCCGCTTTGATTCTTGGAATCTTGCTTCATTTTTCTGCGCTTTGTGCGCCTTGTTTCTTCTTTTCTTTCTAGGCCTTTTAAAAGTCTCCTTCCTACTTTTGGCTCCGTCTTGTTTCCTCCAAGTAGTCTATCAGTCCGATCTTTCACTACATTCGAGGGATCTCTGACTGAATAGCTGAGCAAGTCTCTATTGGTATCACTTCGAATCACTTTGACACCAAAATTGCCTAGAACATTTGTCCCCAAGATCAGCTCATTTTCTAACGATCTGGCGACATATATCGGAATCTTCTTGGATTTGCCAAACAATTCTATAGGCATCTTGATTGCGTCCAAGACCTCTATTATGTTGCCAGAAGCGTCGCGTATCGTAGCATCAGATACAGCTCCTGAGATTCTCTCCACATAAGTATCTATATCGACTCTAGCTTCTTTGGCCCTCGTGAACAGCTTCAATGATGCTATGGACACCTCGGATCCAGTGTCTATAAGTGCGTTTACTTCCATATTCATTACTTTTGCCGGCACAGCTACCTTCTTACCAACAAATTCTTCAGCACTCTTCCTGGCACCTGTGGTTGCGCATAACCACCTATCAAGAGCAGTGGAGAACGAAGATGCCTTGTATCGTTCAGTTCTTTCGGCGTTGACCTTTGTGGCGTTCTGCAGCGTGCACTGTCTTGCTTTATGCCCTAATTTGCCACGTTCGAAGCAATTACTTTTCTCCTTGCCTTTTACGGCCAATCTTTCTCTACTTTCACCATGATCAACGGCCGAATCCGAATCAGACCATTGTCTGGGTGAAGCTTGATTGCCATAAAGCTTCTTGCTATGTATATCGCTGCCCTGCTTGACTTCCTTTCTATGCAGGTTTCTCTCCAGCCTCAGCGCTGCTTCCTTCACTTTGTCATGAACGACATCTCGCGGGCTAGTCTCAATTGCTTCAGCCAAGATATAGCTTCCTTCCCAGTTAGCTAACTGGGAATACAAAAGTTCCGCTTTCTGGAGTGCCACTCCATCCCCTCTTTCTTCATTAGGGTAGGCTTGACTGCACGTCCTCTCCAGTACATAGCAGAAATCACTTACTGTCTGATTTCTTTTCATTCTCAGATTCCTCAGTGTAGCCAAGGCTTTTACGCGGGAAGTGTTGCCTCCTTCAGCTAACCTTTCGCTCATCGCCTGGACTACGCCGTCGAAGGAACCTTCTTTTACACTTTGCGGTAGTGTCTCAAATAGATTCAAGGCTTCCCTTTTCAGAAAACTTTTGAGAAGTTGTACTAGTATTTCATCATCCCAATGCTTCCTTGGGTACTTCAACAGGAATGATTCCAAAAAATTGCTGGAACTCTCATTTGCTTTACCATGAAAAGGTTTTAAGTCTGGTACTGTAGACGACAACATGACTTCTCTCATGGTCTCGGAATTGGAATCATCTTGCAATCGGACATTATGCACATCCGTGTCCAACTGTTGTCGATTGCTTCTGCCCAACTCTAACCTGTGCCTATGCGAGGAGGCCTTCAGTGCACTATCTTGCGCATTCTGCACTGTCGGCACTTGGCGATCCGATAAAAGTATGTTACCTTCCTTATTTAGGTTCGCAAATCTTTGGTATTTGCGTCGAACTATATGATCAGAGTTGCCTTCGGAAGTGTCTGTTTCTCGATCTGCATCATTGACAGATGGGTTCGTGCTGGCTCCATGACAACCGCAACCTCTGCTCAAGTTTCTGAGCTTTAACATGAGGCACTGAACCTCACTTGACACTTCCTTGGCCTTTTCCTCCAAGTCTTTCTCACTGCAGTCTAGCGTTGCACACAGGATTGCAATTAATATACAGTGAGTGAAGTATTCATTAAGGCAACGTTTCAGGTTTTCTGGTGACATCAACCCAGCCTCTGCAAGGATCTCCAATACCTCAGAGTCACTCTGCGTTCCTCCTAGGTCACCTCTTGTGCATACAGAACTTTCGAGGATTACTCTTGATTTCTGTTCTGCGATTTCGATTTGCTCTTCTAGCTTTGTCACAATTGCTTTTCTGCGTTTATCACTTGAGCGAAAAACTGTGTTCAGTTCTTTTTCGCACTCTATGTTTACGAGGTTCAAGCACTCATGTATTTCCTTGTACATCTCTGCCATTGACGGGATTCGCTCTTCTCCCCGTTCATTAATCACCTCGTTATCTATACTTGGCTGGGCTCTATGTTCCTCTTCCTCATTCATCATGTCACTCAAATCTTTCTACAGCAAACACTCTCTTGACTGTAGGATTCGATCGAGACTACAAGCGAGCGACGTGAAACTCGAATGTACACAACAATGTACCGAGTAGCTCAACCAAACTTCCGTAAAGTATTGGTTCTGTGATGCTACGCACTCGCGGTAGCTCTTGCAATTCGTATAAGCGGCCTTAAGCGCGTTCTATACCGTCAATGCTAATCGACCAATAGATCGATAGATTACGAAATACGTCCGCCGCCTCAGAAATCAATGTGGGGACCACTGGTGCCCCAATCTATCGGTCTAAGACGCGATAGGCTTATGCGGGATACAATCGCCGCTTCAAATCGATTTGGAGGTCGTTGACGCCCCAACTTAATTGACTTTGGAGGTCGTTGACGCTCCAAAATTCAGCTTCTTCTGAAAAGGTCTTCGATGCTTCCACATTGTCGGTGCTAAGTCAGCGGTTCGGCCCCCAAGTGGCGGTAGGACGGTCTAGACCGCAGGTTCCACTGACTTAGCAGAACAACTGGTAAAATATAATGGTTTATCAGTAATATGACAAACCACAGGAAGAAGCTGATATACAAATACAGAGAATAAAAGTAGCTGATGAGATACAGACGAGCTAACAGAACAGTGAATAGAGGAACTGTTGAGGAGCTATTGAGGAACGAACTAGACATCTTAGAACCGAAACACGAGATATGGTGATTCGTACATCCCATAGGTTGGGTTCAAAGCTAATAGTGCTAATAGTGTGGCAAAAGAACCTAGGCCGGGCGCCTGGAGGCTACAATTTATCAATAAGGTGTAAAGCAAGTCGATCGATTATGTAAACGGAAATGACTTTGCTTGTAAACAGGTAAGTTAAGCTTACAAGTTTAGGTGAAGCTCAAGTCCATAAGCTCTATGAGTGGAAAGTGGCAATTTTACACGGAAGAAATCTGTTGATTTATGATGGCATCTGTATGGGGTTTTTAGTGTAACTAGCGAGGTCTCGCTCCCTTTATTGCAGGAAAGTACAAACATATTCTCAGAAACAGGAATGGATTCTTAAGTTCGGCCTGGTTGTTCTTCACGACTTCAACCTCTACAGATAGGAAGCAACCTTTTTTATGTACGACGACTGCCAGTTTCATCTACAGCGATCATCGTCAGAGACCGCTAAATCCGTGGCATTGATGGAATGGAGCTCTGAATATGATAACAAGTGATAAATGGTGCTCGTATATAAACATTTCATTCGTACGGTTCTGGTCATTTTTGTAAGCACATCACCTCAGCAAGGCTTTTCGGGAACGTACGGGAACAGGGTACACTTGATCCGTCGCCGATCGAAGATCAGGAAGGTGAGGCAGGATCTCGCAATGTCGACTGCAGGCGAGACGCTATCCAGTAGTTTGCATACAGGTATGGAGCTGCTCCTTATTTAACGAAGGAGTGCTGTCGCAACGCCAGAGAGTAAATGCGAACTAAATCCTTTTGCAGAAACAATGGACTCGGATCCCGAATACAAATCTCTTCTTGGTAAATTAGAAAACGAATATAGAATCAAGATTAATGAGTTTCTTGGTGAGTAGAGGAATTTGCAAAAGAGCTGCAGTAGCTGAGCAGAAAACTGCGCCAGTGGCGACAGAGGTGGACATAACCCAGCACTCTAATCTTGAATAGACAACTGCGCAGAAAATGGGGCAATGGCAGTAGAGAGGTTACGAAAGAACTAGCACCTCTAACGTTCTGCTTCAACTCTCAAGTATGATGACGAGGAACCAAGGGTTGCGCCATGAATCCGGGTAGAAGACTATATGTCGCCGAAAAAGGGCGGTCCCCGCGGTCATTTGCGACAAATACGCCCCTGTGTACATGCGCGCACATGCGCTTCTGCAGGGATTCCGCGCGGGACTCTTCCAAATTCGGCGACATATAGTCCTCCACCCCATGAATCTATGCGAAATACGATCCCGGGGTCCAGTTTCGAGGCGAATATCCCAACCGTCAGTGCAGTACCTGAGCTGCCGGTTAGGCAGTGGCTTAGTTAGGGCCCCAAAATTACTATGCACGTGAGAGCCTCATAGTACTTCAAATTTGCGTGGACGCTGTCTTCAAGCCATCACCCATGCCCTATGTCATGCCTTGAAACAAACAGCGAAACTTGGTTGTTCCGCCTGCCTACCAAAAACCACGAATGCAAACCATTCTGATCGGGAGCACCAAGCACCTTCTGCATTCTTCACACTATTCAATTCGTTACACGTTCCTCCATCCGTTTCTGCTTCCTTTCATCATCCACATCCTTCTGTTGACTGGCGACGTGGCAACGGTTACTAGGTGCAAAGTTCTACTTGGGCTATACCTGGATTACCGTCCGCTTCACCAACGTGTCCGCCCATCTCGTTTATGTTCTTGATCGCAGATATTTTGTTCCGCGAGGATTCTACTCTGATGCCGTTAAATCTGTGTTGTCTGTCTTCTCGTGAGCGTGAAAATAGGTGCTTTGCTTTCGCACGTATTCCACTGGATCACGAAAACAAGGAAATCCTTCTTTCGTGCTGCGAAGTCCTATGAGATGTTGCTTGTGTCAGATTCCCGAAAAACTGACCTTGAGTAATCTGTAGGGCCGTAGCGTTCTCGAAAACCAGCCCAATTTCAGCTGCATAGCAGAGCGCTGTAAGAACGGTTCAGTTGAACATGTGAACAGCACGTAGCTCAGCGTCTGTCAGTTTTGGCAGCTTCCCTCAGAGCTGATAGCGGACAGGCTGCTTTTCTGCTTTACTTGATTTCTTTTTGGAGGTCGTTTTCCATTATCGAACATACATTGTACAAGTACAGATAGCCTCCATCATGGAGGTGCTTATTTCATTTCTCAGAAGGCGTACTTATGAACTTTATCAGCAGTCTCTTCTTCTATAGTTGCTTGTTTCTTCAAATCGTTTTGCCTCGGTACTGCAAACAAGACGATGTGGTACTTAAAACTAAGTTTTGAGAATTCTAAGTTTAAGAGTTTGAGAAGAAAAAGAAGAAGAGGAATAAGAATTTCCTTAGAGAATCCAGACGCCTCCATCCTTCAATCCAGAGACTTCGTCCACTGCCAGGTTTCGTGCACTTTTCCAACTGTGCCGCCGTCGAATCCCATTCCCAACTGGTCAGGTGCCAAGTTGATCGCAATGTTGTCTTGCAGTCCGTGCAGCAGTGAGCGAATGCGATAAAATGGTTGACAGAGCTGAAAGGATGGCGTTGATTTCGACACTGCCGTTTTGAGTGGACTTTAGGACAAGAGGGAGCCTTCCGACAGACTATTATAAATCTGAAAACCGTCAACGGATTTCAAGCAGTTGGATGAATTACGCAGTTTGTTTTTAGAATCGTGTTATTTAGTCTCTTTGATATGCATTGAGCGGAACACCTCTGCCGTGTTTAGAGCTGAAATTCTTTTTTGATTCATCATCTTCTCATGTTGGCAAGTAGGAACTGATCATAATCTTTTGGTTGATGTGCATCTCCAACTCTATTCCGTTTCGTGTGTAAAACAATATGCCCCGCAGTCGTGGAGAAAAACGATCGGTATTTGTGAAGACTGTCCTGGTGTTATGAGTGAGAATCATAAGGCGTTCCCTTGGCTATCATTGCAAAAGACATGTCATTTTTGTCATTTCCTCAAATAAAACACTCGACAATCCAAACTAACTTGCATCGAGCGTGTTTATTGGGTGCAATTAGCATAATTACGAGCGATAGCAAAAGAATCGCCAATAATTTTTACCTACATCCAGGCGAAGGATAATAGCACGGTTTTTCTCTGGCTAAGCATTCGGCGAAGCCGAAGCCGTAAACACCGATCTCCTTCATAGATTGGAGAGTCCTGCTAAAGAAGAATTCGCTATACATCGCGGCTTTACCTGACCGTCATCATCTTCATGCAACGATGAGGCGAAAGGGCTATGGGAATTCGGCCATGGGGAAAAGCGGGAGTTTGTATCATGTAATTGTTTAGGAGAGGGGACATTCTATCGAAATGAATGGAACAATTGAGCCACCTATACTTTAGAATGACAATATAATATTAGGTTGTTACATAAGTCTTGTTACACTTAACTTCTAACGACGATAAGTCATACACCTCATAGTCTTTGCAGGACTCCAAGGTACCATTCGACAGAGCAAAGCAAGCTTTACAAGATGGTCTGCAAAAGTTCGCACCACCGACCCACCATAAGTTTGCACCCAAAATCTGAGTCGTACTAAAATTCAAAAAATCGCGAAAATTTCATATCTTTGTTCAAAAAAATCCTCCGCATCTCCAACTTGCTCATAAAAATTGCCCACTATATCAGGCACTCATATGTACCGTTGCTGTATTTTTTTCTTATCTAGAAATTGAAAAAAGGAAATATTTTTAGTTTTTATAAAAAATGAAGCTATGCTGTTACTCATGCAGCTGTATACTACAAGCCCTTAGAAGTATAACCGTATATTTTCAGCTTTCCGGAAGATACAGTTTTCGAAAAATGCCGAATTTAGCTTTTTATCACTCGGGTGTTCAATGCTAAATTAGGTAATTTTCGAAAACTGGGGCTTCTGGGAAGCTGAAAATTTACGGTCATACTTCTAAGAGCTTGTAGTATACAGCTACATGAATAGAAAAGCATAGCTTCATTTTTGTAAAAACTAAAAAAAATTCTTTTTCTCGATTTCTAGATAGAGAAAAAATACAGCAACGGTACATATGAGTGTTTGATATAGTGGGCAATTTTTGTGAGCAAGTTGGAGATCCGTAGGATTTGTTTGAACAAAGATATGAATTTTTCGCGATTTTTTGAATTTTAGTACGACTTAGATTTTGGGTGCAAACTTACGGTGGGCCGGAGCTGGTGCGAACTCTTGCAGACCATCTTGTAGAGCTTGCTTTGCTCTATCGAATGGTATCTTGGAGTCTTGCAAAGACTATGAGGTGTGTGACTTATTGCTGTTAGAACTTAAGTGTAACAAGACTTATGTAACAACCTAATATAATCAACTTTCGTTAACTGGAATTGTTTGACACGAAAATCATTTAAGGGAAAGGCTCGTACTCACAAGTGATGAAAGGACTATCAGATAACAAATTCAATATTGCTGTTAAAATAATTGACACGAGGTAAGAATAAAGGCTTTCCAAAAGCAATTTCAACATCGATAACAAAAAAATGTGTGCAATTTTATAAACAAAACGCACTTACAAGCCTTGTAGGGAAATTAGCAAAGAAAATGCTTTGCAATCATTGCAGATTTATGAACTAGTGTAGTTTAATCACTGCAGATTTTCGTTTGGAGCAATAATTCTATGACTGTCGCAATAGTTGCAGAGTACCGTCCGAATATGTACGGCGTTTTTTACCACGAGAAATGGCCCTAGTGCGGAATCTGCAACACGAGTGTGTTCTTCGAGTCTATCAGGTATTACCACCTATGTTGTTAGACTTCTACATTGCCTACACTCACATTATAGATAGTCAGCATCAGCCACTATGTGATATTCATCACAGAATATTGTGATGGCGGTGATCTCCTTCAGAAAATAAAGAAAATGAAAAGAGTCCCAGAAAATGAGGCCAAACTTATTTTTCGACAACTCATCGAGGCGCTTATTGTGAGCTGTTTTAGCATGTCAAGAAAAACTTTGTGTTCAACAAACACTTCACCCCTTTGTTCGAGATACTGCAACCTGCTTCCGAGCCTATAAAATGCAGAGGTATTTGAGCACATATGAGGACCGGATTCCAACAAATCATTGACTTCTCTCATCTAAGCTGTTGTTCACGCGACTGTACGATAAATAGAAAACCGCTTCAGGAGCTTGTATCAGCAGGTCATCCCGAACTCGCTTTTTCAAAAAAAAAAATCGCGCCGAGGTGCGATACGTTCATGACAGAGTCAAGTCTGCTCATCTCGCGCTGCTGTCATTGAATCTGTTGCGTAAAATCACACATACTTCCATTTCTAGGATAATTTCTCGCTCTAGAAGCAATCTGCAGTCGCAATCGGACAGCGGCTCTTATAGAGGGTGTAATAATGAATTGTACTGCCCCCCCCCCCCCCAATTTTGTTTGACACTGCTATGCGAGTTACTTCTAAGCAGATGTTTACAGTATTGATGTTTACAGTATTTGCAACGTTGCAATATCGTCCATCGTGATCTGAAGTGTGAAAATGTGCTGCTGGATCGAGTTGAAAATGTAAAGTTGGGAGACTTCGGTTTTGCTCGTTATCTGAGACCGAACGAAAAGGCGAACACATTTTGTGGAAGCAGAGCATACGTAGCACCAGAAATACTCAGAGCCATCGCTTACAGTGGACAAACAGTAAGTTCTCACAGTTATAGTTGACTAGCAAATTGATATGTGCAGTTGCATTCAACACACGCAGGAACTAGACATTTGTTTATAGTACAACACTCTCCGCACACAAAACTTACGCGAATCCATGAAAAACTGATAGCCTTCTTCAACGTTCAGGTGCAAGGTCATACAAGATCGCAATGGTCATACGTGATTAAATGCTTCCAAAAACCGAGAATTAGACACGCAAATTACTACCTGTCCACCGCGGACAAATGAACGGTGATAAACAATATGTTAATGTCTACCAAGGCAATCTTTTCTAATGCATGATCGCAGACTTCTTAACGAGAAGTCGCCTGAGATCATGTCAGATGAAACGCGAATCTTTAAGTACCCGGACAAGGTTGTGGCTTCGGAATTTGATTGCCATGCGGAAGCAGGCCTCCTCGCACACGCTACCGCGTAAGTGCGAGGCCATAACGCTTGGGCAGAAGCAAGATATACGGTGGGGAGCTGAGAAGCTTACACCCTGGGGCAAGCCCCTCCACTTGTGGATGTCCTCTTCCGCGGCATAGTGCGCCACAGTTCAATTTATATGGTCCCGCAGCGACTCTGACTACTACCTGCAACGACATGCAACAATATAGCAAAAGGTCAGTTGCCAGCGAAGGCGGGCTCAAAGTGGCGGTTTTCCTTTCCCTACCCGTTCCGCTCGTCCAAATTCACAAAGGAAGACCTTGGGAAACGCATGTTCTGGTCGTTTTGCGCTTTCTAACGTGCATTTTCTGATTGAGCTTTGGGGGTAACCCCAGGTATAGAATTGACCTCGGTTAATTCCCATATATACCTCCGAGGCGACCCGCAGCGAGCCCTTCTTGATGCTTCCCATCAGACTCATGAACAGTGGAACGTATCTACACACATAGTGCAGGAAATCACTTCCAAAGATACCTATGCAAAAATAAAATGCACGCAACCTCCATTAGTATCTCAAATTCAATGAATAATTGCAAATTCATACTGATGGATAAGCGGTGATATAAGTCGAGCAGAAAAAGAACGACAGCGTTAAAACGTTCCTCTTCGTAGACTTAGAACTAGAATGGTAAGAAAAATTCCAAAAACGTTGACATTTCCGTCAACAAATCCCTACCGACTTTTCGAAAGGCTTAATTCTAATTTGAGGCACTGTCTACACTTTACAAGATTAACCGAAAGGGACTCATATTTCGTACAAGAAGCATTCGAGGTAATACTCCCTCAAGATTTACTCCAATCTCGAATTCTAGAAAAAAAGAGAAAAAACTCAAGGCTTCAGGACTATGAGAACAAGTGAGACTTTGTCAACGGTTATCGCGGATTGCTTATATCTGAAATGGAGGGAATATAGTACAACAAAAGCAAGAAAATAAGAGAAAAGAGAGAAATTCCATCAGAAGCTAGCACAGGAGGTGCATTGAAGCCTGCGTTGCGGGTGCGTCGCGCAGGTATATATCTATGGGAAGCTGGGCGGGGTTCACACTATAAGTGAATTTGCTAAAATCGAGTTTTTGCCTGGACCCTGCCTTTAAACTGACTCGCAATCTGCATGTGGTGCAATCGCACACATCAGGTTGCAGACTGTCCAAATTGCTCAATGCAGTATTATCATGCGGGTGGAAGAAGGAACTATTTCAGACTCGCAAACTTCCGATTTCCCAAAGCCTAAAAAATATGATTGACTACTCTTAGGTCGATATATGGAGCGCCGGAGTTGTCCTTTATGTGATGGTTACGGGAGTCATGCCATATGATGACAGAAATCCACAAAAAATGGTAGAGAGACAACTAGGTCATAAAATAAGGTAATTCTCTAGATATGAGAAACATTTCCGTAATTTGTTGATATCTAGGTTCCCGAAAATAACACTCTCTGTCCACGTCAAGACTCTGATATACGAAATTCTTCATCCGTTTCCGCCATCTCGACCATCATACAGAGCTATTTGCGCCAGTGATTGGTTGAAGGATACTCCATATATATTCAAAGTGAGTTCTTTTCTGATATCAGCGCTTGTAGCCCAGAAGAAACTTTTAGGGTAGAGAATCTAGCACTCAGAGTCAGCAGGACCAGCCATCACAGTCAAACAAGTCAATTCGCTAAAATCATTGCTGTGCCACCACCAACTTAGCTTTCAGATATTGAGCAATATTGTCATACAATGTACGGTGTCTCTTGAATGAATTTCCATGGTTTTCACTTATTTTCCTGTGATCCCTTCCTTTGGCATTCATAAAAGAAAACTAGCATGCTCCCAAATAGCAATCTTTCAAATTTTGGCGAAACTATTTCCGCGCTTTCCATCAGCTGTGCATTCCCAAACAACTTTTCAAGTTTTTTGGACCTTCACGTTAAATAACTGCTGAATATTTTGTTCATATCTTCCAAATTTTGCCACGAACTTTAAGAAACAAAACACGAAAACAAAATCAACGTACTTGCTGACAGCTTGTCCATATTTGACCATGCCAAACAGAATGACACCGGTGTAGGCATAGAAAAGCACAAGCAGGAACATAGCCGTTATGATGAAGAAGGATCGGAACATGCCCATCACAACAGTTAACATTAGCATCTTCAGGGTTGAATTTCTGCCTAAACAAGAGGTGAACCAGAAATTTTTATTTTAAAGAGCAATTACTGAGCAAACTTCAATAATCAGTACCCGTTAGATGTTTGTTCAATTTTCAATTAAAGTTTCTCTCAAAAAATTTTTTTTTCTAATTGCCAAGCTACCGTATACTCGAAGAGGGTTTTCTCAGCTTGTCCTAAACGTTCCTTCCTTTTCAATTTTTACCCCAATAACTCCCGCTTTTCTTGATTGATTGAGCGTAAAAACCAATAAAAAGTGAGATTCGAGTTCTTAACCTGTTTCTGTTTCTCATTTTGCTCTGATAAATACAACAAGTGTACATGAAAATTCTAAATGACAAGTGCATATGCTTGATCAAGGCCACTTTGTAGAGCTTGATTTGTTCTATCCTTAACAAGCAAGAAAAGTGGAGTTTTTGATGTGAAAAAACAACAATTTATGGATAATCCATCAACCTGAGATAATGGATAAGATGTAATACAATTACTACTGGTATTGATATTTACGCTGATGCCAAAGCAGAGTTATAAGATTGTGCAAATGACTTTTTACTTAGGATCTTTCATTCAACTTAATTTTAAAATTTTTTTCGAAGAGTGGCTGTCGCCACGCCCCCTTTTTCTCAATTTCGAGTCACTGGGCACGCAAGAATTTGGAAAGACCTCAAAAATTTCGAAGGGCGTGGCTAACGCGACACACCTCCATCCGCAAAAGAATCTCTGTCCCCCTCCCCCCCCCCCCCCCCCAACAAACGGCAATCCTGGGACTGGGACCGCCACTAGTCAATGCCTATTCATAGGCCTTAATTGGCTATCTAATGTTGTAAGTCTATAGCTGATGCTCGCAAGTTTGAGGTTTCACTTTTTGATTATTCACTTTACTCTGTCGGAGAGTAGTGCTTTTGTACTTGGCTTTTGAAAAAAGAATAGTCATTCTGAAGAATCATTTGTTCCATAAGAATGCTTGAAACTCACTGGCAATGGTGAAGAAACGCAAAATGACGATAATGTAGCCGAATGTGTAGGTGAATCTTTTTAGCTTAGCCTCCGTCGCTGGTTTGTACGAGCTTGAAGGAAGTGCCACGAAGAAGTGCATGAATATCCAAAACAGACCAAAAAATGTAATTAGAAGATCAATTCGATTACGTCGGGACTGCCAGAAACCCGCAAATGTGAATGCGAGCACCTTCAGCACTATCTGAAAGGAACATTAAGGTTGAGGCCTGGATGCGCCAGAAAGTAGAAAATATGTACTTCGACTGCGAAGAGGATGTTGATCACTGCGCTGAGTATTGTCACCGAAAACAGTATCGTACTCCTTTCGCCTTCTTCTTCAACATTCCAGGGAACAATTAGGCATGCGGAATTGAGCAACACGAGAAATGCAAAAATCTGGAAAACATAGGGATAATACATATCGTGCTATAAGTGCTTATGTAGTACAAAGTTGGATTTGGATTCTTTTCAAAATTGCAATTTTCGTTTAATATAAGAAAAGCCTCTTGATAATTCTTGAGTCTTCCTGAAAACGATATGGCTTCCAGGGACGATGTGGACCACCGGTGATCCACATCGCCTCTGGAGCAAAGAGTGCATGGGCCATTGTTGGTCCACATCGTCGTTAATGGGCTAAATATTAGGCCGTTTTGCACGACCGTAATACAGGCAGCGTATTTCCATGCAGGGCCGTATACAAACACGCTTGCGGCATTGCTTAAGCAGTTTGTACCCTCTTCTGTTGAATTATACGTCTCTCAACCATACCGTTAGTTTTCATTATTATTTTGCGCCAGGGCTCGGCCATCTGGCACCGGATCAAGCTAATATCGTATTTAGGGCGAAAGCAAAAGAGATATCGTTTTTCCGGGGTCCGGGGCGGAGAAGAGCCGCAAGAATGCCACCGGCATGCTGTCCATCAAACAAACAAAGGTGTTTTTTTTCAGCCAAAACGCAATAGTATGACACCAAATTTGGTGTGTGCATGCGCGTTGTGGGACCCGAACTATGGCCCAAGAATTTATGAAAAATTGTTTGAATGAGAGCTGTGCTGAATTTTTTTCTGATTTAGATGGCACCGTGCCAGCTGGGTGCCAGCTGAGCTAGCACCTATATAATCATCTTATATATAAAGCTGAATGTCTGTTTGTCTGTCTGTCTGTCTGTCTGTCTGTCTGTATGTATGTATGTCTGTGTGTGTACGTATGTTCCGAATAGAAAATTCCATTTCTGAACCGATCCGGACCAAACTTGGCACACATACACTTCGGGCCCCTGCGGGTGTCATAGGCTACTTTTCGTCATCGATCGATATCGATTTTATCGATTTTTTGCAAAATTTGAGCTACGGGGCTGGGAGTTGGCACAGGGGGTAATCGAACATGCTGATTACGAATATAATAATTAGAGGGCCGGGCGGAGCCGAATAAGTCAACTAGTGTCTTATAATAAGCCGCTTATTTGTCGGTCTGTAAGTCTGTCTGTTACGAAATTATAGTGAGGAATGATTTACGGTACTAAACATCATGTTAGGTTCACATAGAGAGTATGATTCATTTTTAACTATGGCTCTGACGTTGCAGTCAACCGAACAATGATTTGAGAGACAAGCTCTCAGAGATGAGTTTACCACGGTTCATGATGGCCAGTGCGAACCTCTGCGAAGCAGAGGTGAAGCACTGAAAAATAATGAGGGGTCTTCAAAACGGGTCAAAGGGGACTTCGTACGAAATTTTCAAGATCAAACGGGACTTCGTTCTGAAATTCCGGTGAAAGCTCGTGCCGAGCCCTGTTTCGCGCTCTATCTTAACAAAATGTTTTGCTCTTAATTTTGCGCGATGTACATGATGTCCTTTAAGTGCAAAGAAATAAGTATCTAATTAGCCAAGTAAAGAACGGAAAAACATTTGGAAGTTATGATGCATATATTTCTCATAGAGGAAGAAGTACCTGACTAAATCGCCGGCTGAGCGATAGCTCATAGAAAAGCGTCCGTAGCCTCGCAGATTCTGATGGTTTTGGAGGAACATGCAGAGGTTGTGCCATTTTCAAGCGAGCTTTCAGATCGTGCCACCTTCTTTGATCAACAGTGAGAAGGGCGGTTCCCTAAACAAATGCAATTTACCCAGTAATTTTAGAAATTTTGTCACAAACCCTGTTTTCAGTGTAATTAGCAATAACAACGCCAACAAACAATGTCAGTCCTATCATACATCCTATGAAAACATATATATGAATGAATACTACCGCCCACTGAAAAACTATATAGTCAAGCGAGAAATTTCTGCGAGATTTTCTCTGCATTTTGAAAAATGTGAAGTGCTTACAGGTCCTTGTCTGCTATAAAGAATATCTCGAATTACATTCCATCCTTTGTAGGACAGAGTCTCGAATAAAGCTAACATAGCATTGCCAACGTGGTCAAAGTTGAAATTTCGCGGATTAGTCCTAAAAAGAAAATGGTTGGCTTGAGGGTGATATCCTGTACCATTAATTGGCTACTCACCACACCCTTGGCACAAGAATTTTTGGATGCATCTCTTCATCATTTTTTCCATAGACTTCTAAACGCGTAACGAAAATTTTCTGCCAAAAAATACCCGTACAATTTTCCTGCAAGAAAAAGAGAAAAAATAATTTAGGGAGTGTGAAAAGACTATTTAACAAACCCTTGACAAAACAGTTGGATCATTACAGGCGGCTAACTTTCCTCCAACAATTTGTACACCAAAGCTTGCAAATATGAACATAACGACAATCATTAAGATTGTTACCTGCAATGAAAAACATATTCTACGATTCTGACCTTATAAAGAAAGAAAAAGCACCAGTAAAATTTCTTTGAACCCGCGGAAGAATTCCAGTACAACTCTCCTGATATGGGGAACAAGAGTATAAATCCGAAGGGGCCTCATCGCTCGAAATATCATCAGTAGTTGGGCAAATGAGTTGATCTCAACATGATGGGGCATCCATATGAGAAAGGCGAGACTGGTCTTGAATAATCAAAAATCAAGAATCATTAACTGCTGGATACAAAAAAAAAACGCTTTTCAAAACTAGGGGAGCAAACGCTATTCAAATATTCAGCGAAATATTGCGTTTTTTCCCAAATTATTGGGCTATCAACTAAGTTTTTGAGCTTTCTCCATAACTTTTCTTTTGGTATACACAAACTCTGGCACTGCTGAGAGTATGATGTGTACTACAGATGCAAAAATTTGTTTCAAATTCTTGCAATGCGGGTAAAGTTACGGCAGATGTACCGTAAGAAGAAAAAAAATTTACGGATCGTGCCAGACCGTTGCAGTTCCACTTAATGGTCTACGGGAGTGCCTCGACGCGTTAATTACGAAAATTATGCCTATCGGGCCATCAAAGAGAGAAAAGTTAGGAAGGAAGTTGCAAAACTTAGTTAACAGCCTAATGAAACAATTTTCCAAAGTGGGAAAGATTTTGTCTGTTTATCTTGCTTTAGCGACGGATAAGTTTTCACTCACAAAATAAATGAACATAGTCATAACTCCTCCTACGTCGCTGATGACTGCCTTTGGAGTGAAGAACAGTCCATTAGCAATTATTTTGAGCAGCAGCTCAAATGTCATCGTTATAACAAATATGTAGTCTCCAATCTAAATGAAAAAAAAACAGGAAGGCGCTGTGCTTGAGATTAGCAACAAACGGAGATGGCTGCTCCTCGAGCTTACGTCTATTTGATAAAAAACCTACCTGTAAATAGAGATTGTTCATCACAAGATTTTCACCAGTAGTCGGCCATGGACTTTCAAAGAGCATAGATATGCAGGAAAAAACTGTTATGGTCACCATGCCCCAGTCCAAGTATGGCATGATTCCTATTAGTGCCCTGAAATCGGGGTGTTTTTTCATTTAAAAAAATTCAATTTTCACGTAGGTTATGGATCTTCCAGTGCTGCAATGTGCTCAATACGCAAAGGTCAAAGACAAAAATGAATTAAATTCCTCTTCTCATTGGCATTGGAGATATACACAAAAAAATCTTTGATTATCCAAGCAGCCTTACCTTATCTCCTTAAATCGTCGCTTTGTTTTCGAGCCTCCGTTGGTCCCTTCATAATCTGAGTCATATTTCGAATGAACGACCTGGAAAATAAGGCAGAAGATTGTGAGAGTTTGAACTTTACTTTGAACTTTCGTTTAACCACAACGCAGAAGATTTCTTGTCGTACTTGTACATTACTTACATACTTGTATATTTATGGAAGTTTTCAAGCAAAAGGAAGTGAAAAATTTTGTCATCAAATCACAGATGACGTTATCTGAGCTCAAAATGATAATGCTTACAAAATCTTGATTTTGTTGAAATACTGCTTTTGTGTAGCATAGTATGTTTTTTTTTCACTGACTGTGATGTGCCCTAAGACGGTGGTGAAACACCCTAACTCTCTTACAGCTTGTTCAATCGAAAACAAAAGCTTCCTGCCTTGCATTTGGTATTGATTTCCACACTAATTACAAGTGATTCTACGGTAGCCTACCGTAAATTGATTAATGCAAGATCATGCCAGAGTTTGATCGCAGAATTTTTTTCAAATGGCACACAACGGGCAATACATGCGGTCCTTACTGTGTTTTGATTTACAAAAGACCTTTAGAAGATTCTTATAGCATTTCTTTCTTCGTCTCCCCTTTCCCCTTTCCTTCCCATGTACACGTTCATGATTACTTAGGAAAATGAGAAATTTGATAGCCACCATGTAACATCGTCTCCCAAGGTGTGGGATAACGTTCTCAAGAAGTTGTACCTTTTTACAAAACTCTCGCAATTTCGAAGCTCTGCCAATCAGGAAGAGTGGACGATCAAAGAATGGATGATTCTCGCGCATGTCCTCTTCGATACGTGTTCTGAACAAGGGCAAGTAAAAACCGAATTTTCAAGTGAAAAATTATCCTCTAGGCAGGAGTAACCTGGTAATTTCCGCAAGATGTCGCTTCTGTTGAAGAGCTCGTATGTCGATCTCTCCTTGCTTCAATTCTTTTTTCGGTGCCGAATCAGATGGCCGGGAAAGGTCACCGTTTTCATTATAAAGCAGTTGTTTAGTGCGCATTGCCGTCTGTAGAAATTTACCGGTCATGGTCCTCGATTTGCTGAAACGATAATTGACGAAAAGCACAAAGCTCTCACTTTCTGTTGCTAGTGCGCACCCCATGCATCAAAATTTTTACAGCAAAGTAAGAGAGATAGCGAAACGTACGGCAAAGCGTCTTTCCTTGGGTGTAGGCTCCCAGAAGAACGAGAAAAGTGTGGTAAAAAGTTAAGGGAGTTCGTGACAGACTGACGAGTGCGATCCGATATTCTAAACGTGGACATGGATGGAAGTTAGTGAGTGAGCTACAAACTATGTAGTTTAGATCTGTATTGCTGGAGAACATGAACAATCGCGAAGCACAAGTCCGACAGACAGTACGGGTAGAAAGCAGCTCAAAATGACCAAATCTAGTCCTACTTGCTTGCATCTCCCATGGAAGTAGCAGAAATGCTGAGAGTTTCGGTTTGATAATTACTAAATAATTCATTTTTGCTAGGCTGAGTTGCTCAGTGTTTCAGATAGAAAAATGGGACACGGATTGAACTCACCATTTTCTTTCTGAATCTTTTGTTGTTTTTCATTTGCGTATTTTGTTTCCCCTGTTTCATGGAACTGACTATCATACTGTTCTGAATCATGTTTTCTCTTTACCGCTCCTTCTTACCTTATCCACATTTGAAAAAGTGATCTGCAAATTTTGCAGAGTGAGGAAAGTTTGTTCTAACAAGGAATGCTTGTTTAGTCAAAGTGGCCTTTTTTGATGGGGATGTACACCATATTGTAGAGCATAAAATGCTGATTCCAAATCTGCCTTCCGTATCTGCAGAACGTTTATGGACGAGAAGTTATGAGCGTTTTCTGGAGTCAAAAATTGAATGTGCAAATGTGGCAAAAATAACTTTTTCTAGCTCTTCAACGGAGCAATGATAATCACCAAAACACTTCACTTGAAAAATATTCTGAAATAAAAATTATACCACACTTGGTTACGTTATTTGAAGGCTAGTAAGATTCTAACAACTCATTTTATTCAAAATGCACATTCAATTTTTGGCTCAAAAAAGGCTCATAACTTCTCGTCCATAAACGCTCTGCAGATAAGGAAGACAGTTTTGGAATCAGCGTTTTATGCGCTTTAATATGGTATACATCTCATTTGGAAATGCCACTTCGACCAAACAAGCTTCCCTTGTAAGATAACGGACTGCCACTCCTAGCCATGTGCATTCATAGTGAAAGTGACTTCATGACATTTCCATACCAGCATTCTAGTAGCTCACATTAATTCAGCATAGTTACGTTTCTCCCCTTCGTTTGTCTCCAGTTCATGATAACTAATAAAGGATCAAAATCAGTAATGTACGATGGAAGCTAAGCTTTTTACACAGCAAAAGACACGTAATAGCGGCTACCACATATGTTAAGCATATGCAACAAAGGAAAATTCTCACGTCAGTGAAAATGGGTGTCTATTATTGTTTTATTACTCATTATTGCTCAATATCCCTGGACATATTCTAGGATAGTGGATGAGCAGGAAATCGCCTTCTGGTAATCAGCAATATACCGTTTTCGTTGATCAATCTTATTGCTGAGCAGTGGCATCCAAATGCCCTCTCCCCACCTCCCCCTCCCCCCCCCCCCCGCTCCTTCATCCCGCCGAGAATGGGTCGCGAAATTCTTGAAAGTTCCTTACATGGGTGAACTGTGCAAATAATGATTGTTTATATTGTAGATAATTAGAATAAATCTTAGAATATTCAATCAAATTATCCTTGAAAACTTCCTCTAAAGTTTCGGGGTTACGAGATTTTTACAGAGGTTTTGAAAAACATCCCAAACAATTTTCTTGAATTGCGCCATGCACCATAGTTCAAAAAATATTTTTGCCCCCCCCCCCCCTCCCCTCCACCCGGACGGAAACCCTGCGACCGTCATAGCTGCTGAGTGATCATAAGACATCAGGAGAACGATATACTGCTTGAATTCTTTTATCCGTCTATTTCTTGCTTTTCTTTTCAGCATTAGTCCATATGCATCGAAAAAACGACATTGATCTTATTACGAAGGTGTACCCAAATTGACTCACTCTAGAAGGTTTGCTATGCTTGTCTTCAGAGAGACACTACCAATGTGACGAAAATGAGGCTCATCTAGGTGGAAACGCTTCGTGTTGGACAACTGTAGCACAGTTTTCGGACGGTCCTCGTCTAAAAAATAAGACTTTGCCAATTACACGATACTCGATAATGAGAATATGACCGCACCTTGGTCGTACAGTTCTGTATCGACTCCTTCTAATGCAAATTGGTGGGCAAAACTATCACGAACTTTTGGCATGGGGAACTCGGAGTCTACCCTGACAAAGAAGCGAAGTTGAAATTTATTTGAAATTCTTTTTTGATTCAATTCCAGTGTTTGCCAAGGCTGCACCATAGACTACGAACAACTTTCCAGGAATTAGTTTATCATCACCTGTCGCGCATTATGACCCTTTTACTTTTCTTTGCATTTTCTTGATCAACAAAAGCCGAAAATCGTGATATCACAGAATAAAATATTGAAGTTATAATGAGTGATGGTGTAGTAAATGTAATAGGCAAGAAAACTGCTAAGCGTCACCTTATTTGCATCTAGTTTGTTTATCTTCAAGAAAAGTCAACTAGCATAGAATTCTGGAACATCACAAAATCACAAAACAGATGATACCTCCTCATTGCTGCCATTTGTGGTCGCGTTGGAAATTTTTCAAATACTCTTAATCGCCAAGGTAAGGTGGATCGCATGGATGTAGTCTGTAACTTCCAACTTTGACTCTTTGAAATCAATAATCTTGTAAAATCAACTGACGGCCTCTCTTGCCCTCAGCTGCTTGACTTTCTTCAGCTCTTCATCCATTTCCAGGTTGTCAAGGATGACTGCGACAAAGAGACTCAGGACAATCTAGAAAAAATTCTCTTCAACACCATATTATCGTAAAAAATTGACGGAATAGGATTCTGTAGTTGCAGAAAAGATTCTGATTTGTTTTACAATTGTAAATAGATTTCTTGCGTTATACGCCCGTTTTTATGAGTAAACAAATGTTTTATTCAAAGTCTCATTTTGCATTAGAGCATGGAAACATACTTACCAAAGTAACAAAAAGATGGTACGCAACAAAATAGACTGCTACGAAAGGCACAAGCTTATCATCAGTGGCCCGTAACACCTCCACCACAAAATCCGTCCATCCTTCTTGAGTAATGATTTGGAACATTGACATGAATGCCTAACAGAAAAATATCAGGATAATATTATAAGAAAGTTGTGGTACTACCTGAGGGAATGTATGAAAATACTCAAGGTTTGGAACAGCATAGAAGAGCTGCAAGGAGATGGCAGAGGCAATGATGACGAATGTTATGGTGAAAATTACAAGACCACCAAGTTTCTTGCCGGGACTAAAGATCTAAAACAGTAAAACTTGGTGCATATATGTAGCTATGAAAAAAATTCCATAAAAAGCAAAATAAAGACTTGCGCGAAATCAGCAAATTTGGAGATTCAAAGGGTCAAAATGGCAAGGAAAAATTTTAAAAAAACTGATTTTATGAATTTAGAAAACCATGTGGTCTCATTTTCGAATCTTCATGTGGTTTTTTAGTAGTTGGGAATGACACCAGCTTGGAATTTTCCCATTCCTTTTTTTTGTTCTTGTTCCATGATCCATCTGTGTGATAAGTTACACATGAATGGGATTTACCTTCCACACAAAGTCCTCCAGTATTGGAGACGCCTTTATTAGTCGAAGAAGGCGAAAAGCTTGAAAATAGGTGAAATAGTTCCTATCGTAGAAATACTTGATGGCATTCAGCGAGCTGCCAATGCACAAGATCAATTCAAATTTGAAAATTCCTCTCCGCAGAAAATTTCTGAACCCGTAGCAGATGATCTTGATCAAGCATTCCAGGTTGAAAAGCAGGGTGAATCCAACCTGAAATGGACTGATGATAGATTGTGAAGTGGTAGTCAACCACATTACCTCAATAAAATAGTAGTATTTCTTCCTGATCTTGTCACTTTTATCATGTCGGTAGACAAACGAGGCGTTGATAATGGCGTTCGACAGTACGAAAACGATGACAAAACATTGGAATCCCATCGTCCGCAAAAACTGCAAATAGTGATGCTCAAATCCATATACTGAGGTTTGAACAAAGAGTGGGTGTTTGAGTCAGAACTATAGCATATGGAATTTGTGCCCTATGTACTCCGAATTTCAAACTAGGAGTGCGTGAAAATTAGTCTGATATCTTGATGTTTACACCAAAACTCTGTTATCTTCGAAAAATGGAATTTTGCGACCATGACAAAAATACACTGTTTTTCATCGGTGCGACGTTCAAAAGCAGGCATTCTCCTAAAATGGTTCTGAAAAAAGCGTAATGTCTTCCTAGATGCGATAGGTAGAGAAATTACTCTGACCCCCTTCACTTTAGGGCCGGCATCTGGTTGACCCCTTTCACCTGAGGTTGAGACTAGAATCAAGGCATAACGGCATAATCAAACAGCTGTTACAACGGCATTTTGTGTTCGGAAAGGGAAGCCAGCTCTCTTCTCCTCAGACATCACGAATACAAGAGAGTATCGAAGTAGCAGCGTTTTGTTGAAAAAAGGCATGCTTGAGACCTTCAGCGCACTCAGTGGCGTTAGTAACGAAACATAATCAAAAATCAAAAGGATGACTGAATCTTTGAATAATTAACATTGTATCAATGAGTACACACTGTCGCAGAAAGAGTTGAGCATGAGTAGAAAATCTGGACTAGCCAGTGATGGATGCATGTTTACTGACAAGAATCCTACTATATCTCCTTTCACTAGAGAGAATAATTACAAATAAAAGGGCATTCAGATTACTCGTTTCTCAAGCTTTCGAATCATATATAAACTTCGAAAAAAACTTCTTGGTCTGAAAAAATAATTACTCAGAATTAACTGATATTATAGCTGGGTAAAATTGCTCCTATCACGCTTCACAGAGAAGCTAGGAAAAAAAAGACGGTCTACGTCGATTCCTCGTGTTCTTAGCTATCGAATGGTATATAAGATGTTGGTGCACAAAGCTCTCCCAGTCCAAAAAAGTCTTGCTCCGGCAACCCATAGAAAGCCGGAGCAGGGTGGAACAAGTTAGTATTGAATATCTCCACCTCATTTTTGAAAAGCCACAAATTTTTTCACCCAACAACTTGTATACCGTTAGAAAGCCCACGAAAAATGGATTCGTCCTAGACCGTCTCTTTTTCTCTAGCTCCCCTCTACCTGAAGATACATGGCATTTTAGCTAAAAACATGTGTGTTTTTGTCAAGAAATTCCTGCGTGAAGAATGAGTGAAGGTGCCTGATTTTCTAACAGTAGCATAGAGCAAGACCTTGCCAGTAAACGTAGACCGTCTCTTTTTTTCTAGCTCCCCTCTTTCTCTCAGAAGTGGAGCGCAAAGTGATTGCATAAAATTAATGGATGCTGAAGCTAGATCTGATTTCTTATATGTATATTCACAAGAGAGCTGGAAAAAAAGAGACGGTCTACGTCGATTCTATATGTCTCAAGCTTTCGTATAGTATGCCGACTTATGAAACACAAGGCTTTCCTAAGTCAAAAAAGTCTCTATTAGATGACCTTCAATGACCTGAGCATTAAGAAAATTTTCATTTACACCTCTATAGCGCTTATTTTCCTTCTTTTCACTCCCGCTACTGTTAGGCATGCAAGCTGCGTCAGCATTCATCTTAAGACTCAGTTACCCTCTTCACTTTTCTAGATCGAAAGTAGCCAAAACCCCCTTCACCTGGAGAGGAACCTGCTCCCCCTATCGCACCTATGATGTGTTGTGTTGGTCATCTCCGTCAGGACACGGTAGATATACGGTAGAAATCGACTGCCAAAGAACTTTGCAACGATGCTTATTTGACTACCGTTTTCCACCTTGTCAGTCATGTTTGCGACTTGAGAGATTACGATAGCACACAACATATCGTGCATCCCCCTATTCCCAAATGAATAATCAACGTGGCTACCTTCCGATCGTGAAAACGTTAACCCCAGTAAATTCAAAGCGTTTATTCGAAACTGACATGTTAAAAAACGATCGAAAGACAGCAATTTGATGGTTGATATGGGAACATCTGGGGGAAGCACCATATGAATTTGTTGTTTTATGATAAGCGAACATGATTTCCAGTTCTCAAATTACAAGAGGAAGCTACACAGATGAGCTTAATATTCCGTTTTCTTCCAGAAATTAGAGGACGTGGCAGAGTTTTAGTAATATTTTCAAGGGTAATAACCCTTTTTTCAAAAAAAAAATTTTCTGCAGCATACGGTCAACCTTGAATCATGAAAGATGCCTTGAATTTTTCTGATCGCTTGATTATTTGGCTACATGACAAATTCGTAACGAAATTAAATTCTTATTTTGAGCCAAAATAAACTTCCTTTGAGCAAGCGATAGACTCTTTTACTAGACGTAACTCAAGGAGAATAAGTTATGCCCTATAATTTTCTTTTTCAACGACAAAATCGTTGAATTTTGAAAATGTTTCCTAGAAATGAGCCAAATCACGATAGTCAAGAATTAAGAAAAACGGATAAGACCCTCTAAGAAGACTTGAATCTAGTTAATGCTAGTTATACGCAACTAAACTGTATTTTTGCGCTAAGATATGTGAAGTTTGTAAGCTAAAATTTGCAAAAAAAACTTAATATTCTACCTTTTGCAGCTTCAGTTTCCTGCCCTCGACGCTCACATCGGCATCGAGACGTATTAGACGCCATCCGTCCTCGTTTTTTTCGAGCTTCTAAAGTCACTCATCTATTTCATTTGATGTCAAGCAAGATAACGCGAGACGATGCTCTGATGTCACCTGGCGGAACTCTTCGTCAAGCGTCACATCTTTCTTCTGCCACATTTCACTGAACTGCACACGAATTTCGGCGAACGTTTCCGTTATTACAGCAATGAAGACGTTCTGAACATATCAAGAGGGTCGTTTGACTTAACAATGGCTCCTTTTTTTTCAGAAAAATGGCGATTCCAAAAATAGCCGAATTTTTACATGGATCATACCTTAACCAGCCAAGCCAGGAAAAAGATGAGCGTCAGAAAGTAGATGAAGGCCAAATGTGATGGCAAGGAATCCATACAGTCGTAGAGAACGTAAACCCATCCTTCTTCAGATGCTGCTAGGTATACTGTAAAAACGCTGGCTCCTGAAATATAATACGTTTATAAATTCGAAAAATTAAATGTAGACATAAGTTAAAATGAGTTTGAAATACTATGAATAATAAAGTAGAAAAATAAACAAAACATTGAAGACAAAAAATTGTGAATCGAGTCATGGCATACAAAGAGTGGACGCCGCTACGTCCGGACTAGACACTTCTCGTATATAGAGGCAGCAGACGACGAGAGTGATTAGAGTACACTTGATTAGAAAAACGCAGAAAGCGTGGGCGCCCTCCTCTGCGTGCGCTGGCTCACCTATACACGGAAATGGGGTAAAAATGTATGTTTACCGAAATCATTGAACATTCCATAAAATCCTTCGGATTTTGCGTTCAAATTGAGCCGCATACAGACCTGAAACAACGGACTTTTCGGACTAAATCTGTAAATTCTATGACCTACCATTTCTCCAGGGCACTCATACCCTCCACCTCCTTTTTGGGAACACATCGTGTCAGGTATCGCCAAATCGGCTATGGTAACATTATTGGGGTCTGTGCCTAAAAACAATGTCATAAAAGTTGAATTCACCTTTTGAAGGATGTAAGGAATAGAAAAAACAAAAATTAGAGATTTCGGAACTTACTGGGTACAACACAGTGATAATCCATTCTACCAAACAATTGGATCCCTACAATGGCATATAATGCCATGAAAAACACAAAAAACACGGTGACATTTTGCACTTGCTGACTTGACCTCCTGGAATAAGATTTCTATCTTAGAAACAACTATTTGGAAACATTAACGCACTTCAGCAACTGCTCGATTCTCGCCTTTGGCAGCTTAAACTTAATGGCGAGCCTAATCAGTCGGATGATTATGAACGGTCGAACTGATCTAATGACGCCAAACCAGTCCTAAATGAACAAGTAGTCTGGAAAAAAGACAGGAAAGCATTACACTATTATGCACCTCATATGGGAAAGAAGTCATTGGAAAGTGAATCAGCAGTAACTGGTAGAAATGCAATATCCATGACATCCAATGTGATGCGACCATAAACATATCGAATTGTGCCCACCGGTTGTGTAGGTATGAGGAGTTAGCCTAAATATGTCGAAAGATTTCAAAGTTAACATAGTGACTACTTTGAACTAGAACGTAACGGACCAGTTGTCAGGAGGGTCATACCAAACGATTTATAACAAATCCCCTTAACCGGTGCAATACGGTAGAACAGTTATTACAAGATGATAATATAAAATGTTGACAAGAAATTTCACGGAGCTGCCGCTTGACCATTTGTGAGAATTTCTAGTCTGATGGAATTTCGAAGAGGCTTTGTAAACAAACCGACCTCAACCTCAAGAACTGGCCGTAAAGGATTAAGGTCTAGGCTTGAATTCAAGAATCGGATTTCTCGGTCACGAATGAGTCATATGAATTGACGCTTGAGCAATGGTTTAGCTTAGGTTTCATAATCAATCCACATGAGAAGTTCAAATCCCGGATTCAGCTAGACACTGATTTCATTCTGACACTTGACTTTTTTTTTAATCATGGTAAACTTCGGAAGCACACGTTTCACTGAATAATAACTTTTGCTTCCGCTGTTCCACGTCATAGATGATGTCTTGAGCTATAGACAAGTACTTCAGTTCAACAAAACGATTTAGGAAATCACACGAACTAATTTATTGAGGTCGTTTTTACCCTCAGTACCGCCCAAGAATTTTTAGAAAAGTGCGCACTACGGTTCTTCGTGATTGTTAGAACTTTACCTGAAGTGAGTTCCAGAACGATGAATATATCATCAGAATGGTGTATAATGTGATGCCCTTCATTCATTTGTAACACATTGTGCAAGAATCTTCTCTGTGTGGAATTGACTTGGTAATAAATCAAATGATTTTTGTTGCAGCACGTTGGTTTTGCTAGCATTTGTGGCTACATTTGGTATCTTTTCCTAGCTCCCTCCGACAATGCGTCCATTTAGAGCATTCGCAAATTTGAGAAGATCAATGCCGTTGAGCTGACGAAACGTAATTGTTGGCAGCTTTGGATTCGATGTCACACCCTTGAGATGGGTGCATCCCAGCAGCGCTCGGCAAATAAACGCCTCGTCAAGCAACACTTGCTCTTCGCAGCTCGTTTCTCTTGTCTTGGTAAATGGCATTGGAGGACTTGTCAATGGGTTTCGTGCATCACCAGAACAGCAGAAAAACTTTTATATGCTCTTGATGGGGCTCGGTGACAAAAATGAATGGAGCTTGCAGATAGTAGTGGAATGACTTTGTTAAAAAAGCTATATTCAACTTCTCTTAAGCGAGAGTTTTCGGCTGGATGTCAACTTTTATAAATAACATGTTAACAAGGGAGGAACGGAAGATTAAAGAAGAAAATGAAACAGAAACAAAATAAAAAAGAAATAAATCAAATATTATAAGATGTGTTAGTGATCTAGCCACACCAAAAATAAAAAAGGCAACAAAAATCGTTGTTTATTACACCCAGCTCATAAAAAACATTGAAAAATTTCGACGAAAGAGGGAGGTTGTGTAAGTTTTGCTGAGTTCAAGAATTCACCCAGCAGCAAAATGAAGGATCAGAAAGGTCGCTAGAGATGACTGTTTTAGTGAGACATACTTCTTGAAAAATTTGGCTGTTGTATAAGAACGGCACAAAATTATTATACCATTTGTCTATCATCAGTTCAAGATACACAGACATACAGAGAAATTTGCTGGTTTCCAATAATACGACTTTTTTTCTTGCGCAGTGCTGAGAAAACATTCTGGGAAGGGGATTTTTCCTCATAGCATATGCTCGAATTTATCTAGTCATTGAAAATTTTTAATAGAGGTGGCAAAAATAAATTTTTGCGAGAAGTCGTACGCACATTTGAGTCAAAAACGATCAAGAGCAGATTATTCAAGAGCTAAAAAAAATCGAGATAACGCGATGCAAGTAAAACTTCGGATAACGTTATGCAGTGGTTAATGACAATAAATGTTGATTACCAAAAAGAAGATGAGACTGATTCCTGATGAAGGCAAGGAAGCAATTTCAAGCAGACTGAATGAAATAAGGGGAGGGAAATTAGAAGAGCATGTAGATTTCTATGCAACATCATTTTACGATGCGGATATTATCAAAAATGATCAAGGATAGAGGTAACAACAACACATAAGAATGAAAACACAAGTCTCTATCTAAAAAATGGGTCACCCGTATTTAACGTTTTGTGGAAATTTTACAGACAATTTATGTTTGAAAATGTAGTATAATTGAGAAAGTATAAGTCAAGGAATAATCGGATAGTCAGCTTCGTTTGGGCAAAAATTATTTTTTCGATGGCGAGATTGCGCAGGATTTTGAGACTTTTCACTCTTTCAGTTAGAACAAGTCTGAATCAAATATTAAGATTATCTTCCCATAGAAAATCTTAGGTAAGTAACAGCTACTTAGATTCTTATAGAGTTCTGAGTATAGTCAAACTGAACTTATTTATTGGAAAACCTAATAGAATGGAAAACGAAATGATTATGGAATGGGTTATCATTTTATTTTTTGGCATAGTTTCTAGTTCAAAACTTCCTCGCAAACATGCGAAATTTTTTTGATCTCTAACGTTAACAGTACTTTGCAAAAACATCGTTTGCACTAAGAAATAGACAAATGGAAAAGATATAGAATACATATAAGTGATGCTGACTTACCGGGTACAATCCTTCGTAGTGCAGTCGTATCACCACCTCGGAAGTGAGTATCAAAATTGAGATGAAATCCAAGAATAGCACTATATAGGTGAGTGGCCACCATAGTCCGAGTGTTTTCGGTGTGTGCAGGCAGACGGTGACTAGCGAAATACAACAAGCGATCTTCAAAGCGAACTCAAGTCGTTCGCTCTCGACGTAATCTGGAACACCTTTCATCAGAAGTGAAGAGGGGACAAAACGGAGCATGTTCACTCGTAAAATCGTCGCTACTCAAAAGTACAAACTTCGCGATTGCGCCTACGGGCGAAAATTCGAGGTTCCGAGAATCTTTGAACAAGCTAATGATTCGTGAGAACTTTTGATTGCACTAGGCGGGGACGGTCGTAATAAAGAAAAAATGACAAAGCTGGTGCGACGACATGGAGAAATTGGATAGTTCGGCTATCTCACGACTGCAGAAGAAAATCACAATGCTCAGTTAGAGTGCAGTTGCACGATATTATGAATTTTCGCTGGCCAATGAGGTCTCGGTTTATAAAATATTTTTTCACTTTTTGGGGGTTTATTGTTCATTTATGCTTCTAGGTGTCTTTTCGTCGTTTTCCGCTGTTTCTTTTTTTTTGCAGAAATATTCGCGCCAAATCTGCTTCTGAGGGTACCTTTGTCGACCGGAAAATGATTTTTTTTCGGAAATGTTGTATTTTCACGTACGCTAAATTTTAGCCTACTTAGATTTGTAGCAATTTCTAGCATATGGAAGTCGCTCACGTATAATCTTCCAGATGTGCCCCTATTGGATACTTCCATTAATCTCTTCGCAAACTCAGATGTTAATTTTAACAGATGTACAAAAACTTGTACCCATGCAAATTTAAGTACATAATAAGACCTTCCAGATGTTTTTTCCCCGTATGTCCCTTCCATTTGTTGGATTAGTTTTGTCAAGCCACGAAGTCTCACATGCTGAGAAGACATTGAAACACATCTGCTTGCAAAAATACTTATGACACATGCGTGTGTTCTCAAATATTCCATATGCCTGGCGGAAAAATGAGCTGAAAGCTAGATTTGCAAAGCTATCTTTGCAGAGAACACTTGCTTAGAGAGAAGCTCTTGTTGCGTTTCTGTATTTTGCAAGCAGTCACTTTCTATAATGCGAAATCTACTTCCAGATGGGGTAGTATAGCAGATTTGCCAACCGTCGCTAAGCAGTGGGAAGTTGTTTGGTTGACGGGACCTATTTTGAAAAGCTTCTATTTCTGCAATCATGATTAATCGTCAAAATTATATTTCAAAAATTATCAGATGCCCAAAAATGCTTCATGTCGTGTGACGGAGAACTCCTGAATTTATTTTCGAGTTCAAACTTCAACTACTCATAGGCTTGCTACCAGACCCTAAGATCTCACAACAGGTGATGAAAATTCTAAAATCAAGTACTAATATACCCGTATATCGAGAAGCTTACTTTTGGGATTGTGTATACTATACCTTTTGGTGATTGCACAGAATTTATCTTGGTAATGAGATAAATATAAGCTTTACAGAGCGGAATGAAAAATGTAACCTATGCTCAATGTCGTTCGTTTTCTGAAACTTAGTTGATGAACTTGGTATCTTGAGGAATCTTAACAAAAGACCTTTTAGAGCCTTTTTCTGTTCATCAGTACAGCTTGAGAAGTATAGCACAGAAAACTGAAAAGCATGAGCAGCTTTAAAGAAGCAAGACGGAACTTGCAGATTATGAACAAGAGGATATTCCATCACTCTTGTTGCAAAACTTACTCAAGCTGAAAATTATGTTATTATATTGTTACGTATGTCTTGCATCAAAAAAAAATTTTTAGGTCTTGCACCAAAATTTTTTTCCAAAGTACATTGTTTATTTTGAGTGAAATGTGGTCGCAGACGTAAAATTTTCACTGTTCATTTTCTATCAAAATAAAAGATTTTTTCAGTAGCACCTGGGTAAGATCATGAATTTATCAAATTCATGGTGCAAAAGACTTATGTATCGACCTAATAATACTGCTTTCAATGTTAGCTCATTGCCTACAAGGGCGAGACGTTTCTAGAACTGCACTGATGAGCGGAGGAAAAGGCTTTGAAGCTCCGTCACAAATTGTGTTAGATGTGCCAAGATCTTGCAAAAAGTGCTGTCTGAGAGGATATCTCATTGTCAGCTCTTAGCACTAGGTTTCTCATTGAGTCTTGCATATGTCATTCCCAATGAAATTTTCTTTATTTCGAATGCTCTAGAAAGCTCTAGAAATTCACATGTGATATAATTGGGTGTATGAGGCAATAGGATGTCACTGTCAAGAACGAATACATATAGGAGGCAGTGGCGGGGGGGGGGGGGGGAAGGCCGAAAATGGGTTGCGAAATTTTCGGAAGTCACTTACATGAGTTATAAAAAATGTGCAAGTGATTCGTTTATACTTGTGAATGATTGCAATAATTTTATAATTTTTCAAAAAATTCAATTCAGCCTTGTAAAATTTTTTTGTCTCCCCCCCCCCCCCCCCAGCAGAAATCCTGGTTGCGCCACTGATAGGAGGGCAACTGACAAAAACTGGTAATCTCGAAGAGAGCGTTAAGGTGGTAAAGTTAAATTCATGAATTCGTGGCCGTCAATAGAACCAAAAAAGTTTCTGAATTCAAAAAAGGGTTAGTGCTATCTGAAGACATCAAATCTCCCTAATTCTCTTGAACCCCAGCTCTAAAATCTTTTCGTGATTAGTGCTCGTCATGAGCTTTTAGTGGGATGTCGTTGGCCCTAACGACTCATTTCATGTCGTGCCAAAGGGCATGGATTCCATTATTTTAGCGAATCAAAGCCATTATGTTGGTGTAAACAATAAGACGAGTGCACATCAAGCTCTTGAGATTGGACATAACTGGAAAGGTGAAAAGAAAGATGGAAAGGACATTAGTAAAATTTTCCCACCACAAATATTAGTCGGGTTTCTTCAATTCAAAGAAAATCATCTCAATATTGCTACATATACACCAGCGCAGCACTCAAACATTCCCGTTGTACAATATTCGTAAGAAATTGGAAAAATCAAAAAAGAACCAAAAATCTAGGAGTTGCAATGCATCAAAGTTCGAGTAAAGAAACCCAACAATTTGTTGCATTCAAACGATAAAAAAGAGCTGGGAAGAAAGCTTGGTACTCCTTTGCAAGTAGTTTCTTGTTTGAAAGAGATGAATCAAAAAACTCTAGTTTTTTTGCGAAACATTACTTTTACTTGCTTCAATGCACCGATATTGGTGAAATTGTTCAAATTTATCATAAATAGCAATTTCTCCCGCTCATATTTTATGCCAGTTTTTTCTTCTGCTAAAATGGCAATTAAGGTACTCTTCTGGTCAGTGAGAGATCCCATCTGCTTGCTTTTTACCTTCTTCAATCTTGTGTAAGTGAAAAATATCTGCCAGAATTTTGCACTTCAGCTGCTTTTTCATTCAGTTTGTCTGACTCCTGACCAGGGTTGAGCAAGAGGTCAGGCACAAGTCTTTCCAAAACGACCCCCCCCCCCAGTGAAAGCCCCTAAACGACCCCTCTGCTTCACCTCCAGGACCTCAGGCTGTGATAATTCGAAGAGATCAGCCGTTTTTGGGAGGTTCTTGTTTTTTGGAGGTCTGTAGGTCGACTTTCTGCGATTGCACAGCACACGCAACTTGACGGCAAGTTTTGGATTTTGGATAGCCCTACTTTTAGAGCTATAATTCCCACAGGGGTGTATTGTTTGGCTCCATATTTGCAGTATTGCAAGAAGAGGCTTTGAGTTTAGCAGAAATGGAGCGATTTTTAGATTTTGAAAACAAGTTAATCGGGTCAGGCGCAACCCCTCAAAAGCTCAGGCGGCTTGACCTTTTGTGGGGTTGCGCCTGACCCGATTAACTTTATAATTGAAGAAGCTTTTTTATTCAAGTTTTATGTGAATCGCTAGCACAACCCTCGAAGATTCCACAGTAAGTGTTTGGACTTGATTCGACTTGTTTCGGCCTTGTGGTAATCCGTGGAGTTGAAGCAGTCATGGCGAAAAACGCGCCGGTCGGAATTTTGGCGTTATTTCTTACTCCACTATTTGCAAGCGATACAAAGCGCGATTTTTAGCCTAGACTAGTAGGGAACAATGCTTTGTTACGAGTACAAAAAAATTGACTTTTCTCACTTTTGAAAACAAGTTAATCATGTTTGAAAATCACGCTTTTTAGTCGTTGAGAAACACTAGATAATGCAGTAAATAATGGTTTGTAGGGCTCATAGAGGTAATTTGACGTGCTCGGAAGTGATACCCATTTCACACAGCAAGCTTCCTTGATGAATTTATAATATGTCAAGGTAGAAGATGAACATTTTTTTGGCCGAAACTTCGGCCAAAAAGACAGTGGACAGGCAAAATGGACCCCTGTCAGATTTTGGTAGTTTCGGGTAGTGGACCCCCCAAGTACACCGTAGCCCCAACCCCAACTTCCAATTGATGCGCTAAGTCCTGAAAAAAGCGCTTCAAACTTCCACCAATAACGCCCACTCAATGCAAGTGGGCGGGGCTGGTGGAGTTTTGAAGCGCTTTTTTCAGGACTTAGCGCATGAATTGGAATGTGGGGTTGGGGCTACGGTGTACTTGGGGGGTCCACTACCCGAAACTACCAAAATTTGACAGGAGTCCATTTTGCCTGTCCGCTGCCTTTAAGACCGTTCATTCCTTCAGTACTGGTGAGGTCGCGATATCCACTAAACTAGCGCTTTTCTTCTTCACCTTAATCGTAGTATCTCCTCAATCGAACGAATTCGATTCCTAATCACGACCCCCCCCCTCTGTCTTACCCCAGTACGACCCCCCAGGTCGGGCGCGCCTGACCCCACGCTCAACCCTGCTCCTGACCAAAGTTTTTCAGAACTTTATAGACAGATTTTCAATAGTTGGTCCCTGAGATTTTTTCTTGGAACTACCAACTACGTAATGACATTTCTAGGAGAACAGTTTGCGAATTTGTTAATTGTTAATTTGATAATTTTTGCTTACATGGTTATTGAACACGGTAGTTGTTTGTAACAAAATAAAACTTGGATCTGAGCCCTACACTTGTATGTTTTCCAATTTGCTGCTCAAAAATCAAATTGGGATTCCACTTCTGGCTAATGGCACGCAGCGAAGCAAAAATGGATGAGAAATTCAAGTAATTGGCTTTAATTGTCATGCATCTCCCATTTATATGCCGTTTTATTCGGATGGAATCGCTAGAATAACGCATAATTTGGATTCCCTTGATAGATGCCAGTATTTTTGGATGCATATCGATGGAAAATATGTTAATTAGGTCTTTTATCATTTCAGATTCATTTTCAGCTTTAGCTATAGACCAGCGTTATATAGAGTTCGAACGAAAGTTCTGTCTCTTCAGTTCAAAAGTTCATACTTCTCAATTTTCAGCGGATTTGACTGAATTTAATCTTGGAAGAAAAAGTTAATCGCTTTGAAATGGCATGCAGCCCACTTCTAAATAAGCACATATCGCGTGATTATAAGTCAGATTTCAGAATAGTCAGAATATCATTGCTCCGCTTTTTCAAACTGAGCAAAATCTGTGCTTTACGAAAAGTTAAATTTTGCGCAAAATGCCGAAAAAATCAAATTTGCGTCCTATGCTGTCTGATATAGATCATTTTAAAAAAGACCAAATACATTCACCGCTGAGAAATCGAAAAGCAATGTTTTTGAAAATGGTGCGGTAGGACTTTTATTCCAAAACAATACATCGCATTTTGCCGTAAAACACTCGGATTTTAAAATTTTTGAGAAATGTTGAGCGATAGATTATAGTGAATTTGAGCTGAACTCACCAGGTTTGTTAAGTTTCTTCTGTTGCGATGTTAGGAGATCAGACAAAGCTACCAAGCTATCTCGTCCAGAAAATGGAGTTACTCCTAGACGTCCTGAGGAGTTCTTCCTCGTCAGCATCGCTGACGATAACACTGCCGCCTTCGCCACTGAAATTTAAAAATTAACAACCATCAGGAAAAATAAATCGGAGATTAAAACAAGATGGGGAATTTTCACTGTGAGCAGGTTTTTCTCCAGTTCCGTCAAGTGCGCCCAATAAGCGGGAGTAATTTACGACCATTTATGACCTTGTTTTCTTGTTCCTCGTTCCGCAAAAAAGGCGAAGGCTTCACGTTTTTTTGTTTTTGCTTTCAAGGCTGACTGGATCAGATTTGAACAAAAGTATGAATGTGACTGCAAAGGAAGTTGCGAAAAACTCTATTAACGTAGAAATAAAAGCGGAAGAAGGAATAAAAATAGCTGAAAAATTAATGGTCATACTAGTGAGCATACTCTTGGGCAGACGAATAAGCCAGTATTATAATAATTATTTTAGTAAGATTATCTCTTAATGTAGTAAAATTCACATTTTTTAGCGACAAAGAAACAAGAATATAAATGATTATATTATAGATCAAAACCTAACAATTCTCTTGCGCATATTTGTCAACATAATCTTTTTTGTACATCTTATCATGATCAAGGACAATAGCAAGGGGTTTTCAAAATGTATTTGGTTTTTCCAAAACGTAAAGAATGTTTGATAATTGTTTGGATAAAGATATCAAAGAAAATATTTGCATAACCTAGTGTAAATTTGGAATTTATGAAAATAGATGTATGAGATATCATCCATTCTATAGCTGTGAGACGCGAGACCAAATTGCACGCATTGTCTATACAAGTCTAATCGTGTACTTTGCAGGTTTACGCTTGTTATTTATTTCGTCCAGGTTTATTCACTCTTTGGAAACAGGGAAGAACAAACTCAAACTTGTTAAGACAATGTTCGCAACGCGGTCTCGCGTCTCCTAGTCATAGAATAGGATGATACATGTGCAGATACATGTACTAGTAAGATGTATGTAAGTACATGTAGGATTTAGTTCAGAGCTAATTAATCATTCTAAGAAGATGTGCGTATACTAGTGCACTATAGTAAATGTACATATGCGTACTTGTTGGGTTTCAGTTCAGAACTAATTCATTCCACAAAAGGGATGGAGAGACATGCACTTGAACATCCAACGATACATAGCATAGAATTAAATTCAACTTTGCGCTAAGCTTGACAGAAAAAGTGCACAATATGTTTTGATGTCAAAAAGCGACAACTTGTGCTCACAGAAAGTGGGTAAAGGGTCAAGAGAGTAGAAAGAATGAGTTAGAGAAAATATATGACACTTTTTTTCTGAGACCATCATTAAAGGGTTATTCTCGATTTCCTAGAATAGAAAGGTCATCGCCGTGAAATATGACACCTTCTATTCCTAGATTGAGAAGCTCTTCGTTGTTGAATGGAGAGCACAGATTTCAGGAAGACGTTTCAAAAAGCTTGAATCCCAGCTAATGGAAAAGTCTGGTGTTATGTAAAGCAAATGATGTAAGTGAACTTTTTGAAAAAGGAAGAAAATGTGAAAAGAATTATTTTTATGACCTTGCGAGTACTTCTTTTGATTTTGAATCAAACTCCTTTTCCTGCCGTCGTCCATCGCGATATCTAGTTGGTTCAAAGTTAGACTGGGGATCAGAAAATAAGTGAATGAACCCTAGAAATCTGGGCTCAAGTCGGGTGACTTTTCCCTGTGGTAATGGGATGGAGTAGATGCACTTGTGTCGTGTCGGAGCGGGCGGGATCAAGCCCCGTTTCGGCGCCGTTCCGGATGAAGCGCGTGGGAGGGGCCGAAAGCGACTGATGATGTCCGTTTTTCTGGCGAAATCACCACTTTGATGGCTTCGAGTTCTGTTATAGCACTGCAAATGATAATGGTATTCCAAAAATAGCAACAAAAACCGGCCAAAATCGCGACCTTTCTTACTTTACCCAGCTAATGTATGGACTTTGGCCATTCTGTTACTCTACAACGATCTAAACGGTCAGGCTTTGATTGTAACGCTCACTAAAAATCTTACCATAAATTTTCAAGATCACAATATTATTAGTTGTTAATTCGTTTGCGTTGAATGGACTAAAGGCGAGATAGTTGCTAAAGTAATAAATGTGAATTTTTATCAAAATCAAGATCCAAATCCTAATGATGGCTATGTGAATTTATCTTGGAAGACCGGGAGGGGGGGGGGGGGGGGGCTGAGGCAGGGAGGCGTTACACCATTTGGAAAATTCTTTGGGACTCGGAAGCTGAGGATCTACGGATCCACGAAACCGCACTGATCTAGGGAGCCCCTTTAAATGAGCGAGAAAATTTTTCACGAGTTTATCTCAACAAATAAAAAAAATCCAGTTAAAAGTTACAAGAAGTCATGCAAGATTTCATTTTTAGTCATTTTTAGTATATATCGCTTATAAAAATTAGCGTCACATTCTTTCCCCACTTGGGCGGCAGCTGATCCACCGCTGCCATACCCAACTCCCACTTGGTGGCTATATGTGACTTTCAGATAATTTGGAAGTTGTGAAGCTTCGTAGCCTAAGACATCCAAAAATTCAAGAGCCAGGGAACTCCAATTTATAAATTCGCCATTGTAACCACTGCTTTCAGCCATCACTGTTGAATTAGCCATCTGTCACTAACTCCCGTAGTCAGAATTTTTCGTTTTTTTTTTAAATTCTAACCTTGGTGTCATACCATGATAATGTCTATGTGAAGCACTGGTTGTTAATTGCCGCGGCAAAATTAAATCAATCACCGAAATTTTGACTTCTTGAGGCTTCACTTTTCTAAAGGAAGGTAAGGCAAAATCAGCTTTTAAGTGGTTTGGACCAATCTGCAGCTTCTCGTTTTGAGCGAGGCACCCCAGATAATCATATTTTGAAAACGTTTGGTTGTTTTTAGCCTACGGTAATGAATGCATACTATTCACCTAACTACGGAGTCAATAAAATAAAATGTCTTCTAGCTCTATAACTCGGAAACTGCAATTTTAGACCCAGTGCAAGCATTCAGTCTAACAGTGGTACCATTTTTGTCAACTCGAGTTCATGAATATTTTAGCAGAGAAACACAAATGAAATAGTCAGACTCTCTTTTTTTTTCTCCTCGTTCATCCGCCTAATGAAAGCTTTTTGCCTCGTCTTCTATATTCAATATCAATCAATACCTCAAAATCCTCATGTCCATTTCATTCCTTCATCAGAATATAGCGATATTTTGCTATATCGGCTCATTATATAGAGGCTATCCTTATAGGCTTTCTTCTTCATCAAAATAGCTCTGATTGGGCTGCTTTCAAATATGAGTAATGTAATGTGACTGACATCAATCAAGTCTCAGTCTCCAAGGCTTGGGCAGAATATAATAATAGCGTGTCTTCAAAAAATTTGTCATTCCTGAATAATTAGCGTAAGCTCCAATTCTTATTGAGAGCCTCAAGCAAGAATAACAGAACACTGTATTAATCTTGGCAAAACCGTCGGATTCCGTAATTTGGTTTAAAATGATTTCCACGAGATCGGACCCTAGTTTTTGGAAAGCAGGTGATACAAGGATTCGAAAAACTATTAAATCTTTTGAAAGTACTTCTTTGTATTCTTTTTATCCTTTGCTTGAAAGTTCAGCAAATCTTTTTCCAATAAATATAGTGGGAAGCAGGAGATGGATGATAATATTGATTAAAAGTGTTTTTAGACGCAGTTTTGTGGATTCTTGGAAGCTTGAAAAATCGAGACGAAAATCTGCATATTTCTCCCAACCTATGGGTATAGCTCCTTGTCAGAAAAGCGTGTATGAGAGTTTATTTTGATCCGCTTTCGTGGTTTGTGCTTCTCAGCTCAGTGTTTTCGTAACTTGCCAACGATCATCGTAAAATCCTCGTTAACTCCGATCATTGTTGTTTTTTTCAAACAACCCGAACAGCTGCCGATATCCCGATTCCAGTAGAAAACCGTTGAAAAGATGTTTCAAAAGATGGCATTGGCCTAAGATGAACTGAAAGAATGCGGCAAAACCTCACAAAATGGCTTTGTCTTGTTGTTCAGTCAGGTAAGGGTGAGTCAAAAGTGATGAGAACATCGCATCTCTTTTTAAAACTACTCTCAAATTAGGTAGGATGTGTATAAGCAAGTGCTCTAAAGGGCGTCCGACAAAGTTTTTCTTTTCTTTCCGATAGATATAATTTTCAACCAAATCACTTCGTAATTGCTGAAATATTTGCAGTAATCTTGAACGCAGCGTTTTCCGTTCAAAATCTATGGTTTTCTCAAACTTGTCAAAAATTCTAGATTGTGGTAATTTGAAGCGGTAAACGCTTGATTACCTTACAGAATTAAGGTTTGATGGTAAGCGTTTTCGAAACTCTCAAATTCGAAAGATTTTGTAGGGTTTAACGCATTTTTGTTTTGAGCCATTTTTTGAAAATTTGGGGCTTTTGCAAAAATGATTTTAAAAGGCCTCAAAATGCTAGTTTCGAAATGCCTAAATAGCAGTGGCGGTTCCAGGATTTCGGGCCGGGAGGAAGGAGGGAGAGGCGCGACAATATTTTTCTTCAAATGAAGGTGCGTGGCATTTGCCACGCACTCCGAAAAAATTTTTGTGGTGCTTCTCAAAACTTTTGCGGGTTCCAAACCCCTAAAAGCCACGCCCCCGAAAAATATTTTTTATAAGGCTAATTTGAATTTTTGAATAGTTTTGAAAATTATTTCAATTATTAACAAAAATGAACAAGTCGTCTGCACATTTTTATAACCCATATAGGTAGTTTCAAAAATTTCGCGACCCATTCTCGGGGGGGGGGGGGGGGCGCCTCCCCCCCCGCCCTCCCTCCTCGGTCCGCCACTGCTAAATAGTGGTTTGCATCAAGCAGGGTCTGCTTTGTCTTTATGCTATCGAATTTGTTCGAAAACCTCAAACCTAAAAAAAACAGAAAATTCTGGAGATTAGCTAAACTCAAGGAAAGCAATGACGGGTTCAAAATTTGGGAAATTTTTTCGACAACTAAGAAGTCAACTGGGCCATTGGCCT